CTAATAATGTATACTTCTTACCATGGTTCTTAATTTTAAGTATAATTCTTGTAAGAATCTCCCATTGAAACATGTTTTGTTGGCAACATCAATTTCTTAAAATTAAGAATCAAATTTTAAATAAAAATATGTTCTTAACATTAAAATGTTTTTTTTTAATAAATTTTCTTTTAATCAACCAACAATTACAAAGAAATATGAGTTGCAAATAAAAATTTATAAAAATGTAAATTTTTTATAACATTTCACTATTACAACATGTAAAAATATAACTTAAATTGCTTAAGAGTGAGATGAGGTGATATACCCACCTATTTAGAGGAGTATAAAAACTTTAGTAAATAGCTTATGGTAAACCGTTACATAGATGCTCTAATGAAACTTTCTTTATTCAATCCATTTAATAACGGAAGTTACCGAACTTGTGCTTGTGATTTATTTTCCCCTCAGTTATTAGCTCGTGGTGGATAATAGATGCCACCTTTGCTTTTATTTAACTTTTACATTATGCTTCCACTAATGAAATAAATCACTTGTCTTAATATATTAATGATATTTATTTAGGTTAGATTCGTCATCGATTTCACTAGCACCAGGCTAAGGAACTTTATTGACTTGGTCGTAGTACTACACTACTAATCCTATGAATGAATCTGATATAATGTATTATATTCGTCCCCAATCCTGATTTATGTCCAATCTAGCTTTGGAGTGAACTATAATTGGCGGAACCAACTTCAAATACAATGGTTTTATTACCTTAAAAAAAATACAATGGTTTTATTTAATAACTACCTTAGGCCTTAGCTATTAACTAAAAATATTGATGGACAACAAATATTAAACAAAATACATATAATTGAATATATCTGAAAAATATTTATTTAAATTGAATATATTTAATATAAAAAAATTCAAGTACTGGTAAATAAGATATTATTAAAGCTTTGAAGAAAAGAAAGGCAGAGATGCGTCCACATTGGATTGAAGAGTCATTAATGCTCCAAAAAGCAAAAGCAAAAGAAGGGCTCACAGTCAGTGTAGATAATCAAAGAATCTGAAACATTGGAGAATTCAGGGCGTAAACGAAACCCCTGATCCAGCACAGCTATTAACGGAAAAATGGAGGGCCTGTGTTACCTTCTGTCAGAGCAACAAAATTAATTAGGATGTAAAATATTACCTTTAATCTTATTATTATTAGTTATGGTAATACTGACGCAGAAAAAATAAAAACACAAATTATTCATGTAAAAAAAGACGTGGAATATTTATATTAATGTTATCATTTATTATGTAAGTTTCATTAATTTCACTTTTATATTTTCTTTTAAAATTAAATATGTTTTTAGTTTTCAATTTTTTGTTAATTTTTTTTAACACTTTAAACTGAAGTATTGTATTTTTACACTAATTTTATGACTTTGGTGCTTGAAATGTGTTGAGGGGGATTTAGAGAGTTAAGGAACTCTCAATAGTTTAATTAATATTAAGGATCTCTAGTCAAAAGTTTAATTAATTTAAGAAAGGGAAAATATATAAGTTTTGTTTTTTATGAGAGTTGAACTTCATAAGCTCAACTTCTCACAAATCTCAAAGATAGATTAGAGTGGGAGGTTTTGGTGATTAAATCTTCTTATTCTTCTCATAAATCTTGTTGTTGGTGGGGATTTAAAGTTACTTGAAATTGAGAATCTGAGTTAGGGTGGTTGCGGAGCTTGTAGAAGCTTAAAGTTATTTTTTCTAATCTTCCTCACTTTCAATTTGCTCGGAGTTGAGGTAAAGGAAGTTAGAAACTTTAATTCTTGTTAAATTGATGATCTGCATGCTAATTGATTTTACATGGAAACGTTGTTGGGTTGGTGTGATTCATAATGAATAATTGGGGTTGGGATTTATTGCTTATAAATTATGTTTGGGATGAAATTGTTGAATGGGCCAAATTGGCGGTTGTATGTTGGATTTATGGTGTAAAGTGAGTTGTGGATGATGTGTATATGTTATTTGGTTCCTTGTATCTTTGGTTTGGCTATTTTTTAGGTGGATTAAGACAATTTTCAAAATCTGCATTTGTAGATTTTTGATTTGATGTCGGATGCACCTTCATGGTATCAAATGTGGTTCTAATCGGAGGTCTGTGTCTCAATCACACTAGGCATAAGATCGATGATGTTGGACGTGAGAAGAGAGACTCATCTCGAGTTGGAATGACGTCGAACGTGGTTTGAATGACATCGAACATGAGAACATTGGAAAATCTTTGACTTGGTGACGCTGAATCCCAAATTAAGTGGTGCCAAGCGTGATTAGAGCAAAGGCTCTCTACCTAAACAACGTCGGGTGCTACTGTAGTAACTTTAGATGAGTTAAGCAAAAACTCTTTGTCTTATATGAGGTCGGACATGGGTTTTACCATGCTAAGCATGAGGTCCTAGAGGTTCATTACTTCAATCACGTCAAGCACAGGTCGAGTGGCGTTGGGCGTGGAAGAGGTAGGGAGCTCCATACCTCAAGGGTGTCAAGCGCGAGGTAAGCTGTGTTGGGTGCGAGTTGTTTTGATGATACATGATGTTTGGTGGGTGAATTAGTGAAAATGAATAGAGTAATCGAGTCTATTGCATGTTGTGTGATGTATGAGGAGTGATGGGTCTATGTATGTCGATATGTAATGATATATGTAGATATCGTATGATGGATGATGGTGTTGAGCATTGGTATATTGTAGTTACATGATTGAAAATAGTGGATGGGGCATTGATATGTTGTTATGAACATGTTGTCTAACATTGATATGCTAAGTATGATTGGTATGATTTAATCTCTATATCCATTAACCTATAATAATGTATATAGATGATGTATTTGTTTGCTTAGATGTTTTTAACTTTCAAACATGTTGGTGCTATGTGATTTGGTGAATGTTGTAAACCATGTGACGTGTTTAGGGTTAGTTTACAAGTTGGTGAATAGTATTAATGTTCCTTTCTATACTTGTATATTTTTAAAATCGAGCTTATTCCTGTGTGTTTTCCATGGGAACATGACAAGTTTAGCTGAAGATAACTACTGGAACTGTTAGCGGGTCATGTATTGATTGACAATATAGTCAATGACGATTTTTGTAGTCGTATAGTTGTGTTTGACTGGTATCCTTAGGCCATATAATTTGTTTTTCTAGATCATTATATATATATATATATATGTGTGTGTGTGTGTGCGCGTGCGCATGTGTACGCGTGCATGTGTCTATCTATGTATTGTTTATAATGTTAATAATGTTATAAGTAAATGTATGACTTTTAATATGTTAGTAATTCTATTATTATTTGAGAATTCTATAAAGTGTAATAGTCATGATAGATTGTTACATTTAGTCTTTAAATATTTTTATTTAATTTAAAATTTTTAAAAAATTATTTATTAAAAAAATTGATGTAAAAATTAAAATATTAAAACATTAACAGAAGAAAATGTTGGAGAACTTAAAGTGAAAATCAACAAAAGTTTATAAATAAAAATTATTATATTTTGTTTAAAACTAAAAACAAAAATTAAAAAAAAATTAAGTGACTAAAAATCTACTTAATTCTTTTATAATTTGATTGATATCTTCTGGCTAACATAGGAGAAGGTAAAATTGAAGAAAAGATGAAATGAAATAAGTATAACATCTTACTAATACCAGCACTTTATAACAATATTAAATAAAAATGGATGTATAAACTATTTACAATGTAAAATATATATTTATTTTATTTATAACTTGAAAATTATAACATTAGTTAAAGAGTTTCTAGAATATTAATTAAAATATACCATGCCTAATTTATAAAATATTTGAAATCACTTATTAAATAACCTTGTATCCAGTAATATTAAATATTTGGAGAGACACATTTACAATGATTTACCAACTTAAAATTATTTTTTTTATAGTAAATAATACATTTGGTATATATATATATATAAACTTGGACTCAATAATACTGTTATTTTATTTACGAGGTTATGTCTTGTGTACTGTATTTATAAAATATAGAATTATAAACATTCAATATATTCTGTTAAGTATTTTAAATAATTTAATAGTAACTATTAAGTAAATTTATATTTTGAATCATAAATACATGATTATCATTTTCTTATTTATGCAAATTATGAGCCAAATCTTGACCGGAAGCTATAAATATTAATAAAATATTTTTTAATAAAAATTATTATTATAAATTGAACAATATTTTTAAAGACAATTATAATAAATTAATTAAATAGTACTACATTTAAACTACTACAATTAATCTAATAACAAATATTGAAATAACACGCATGAAGTCGTAAAATTGTTTAGTAAAAAAGTAGTATCTTTTAATCTTTATTATAAAGTATAATTTAATTTAAATAGAAGTAATAATTCTTTTATAAGACATTTTATGATTTATACACAACATTAATTTTATTTTACATTTTTTATCCATGTGGATTATTGGTTTATGTTTCTTTTAATAATAAAAAGAGAATTTTAAAAATAAATATTTTCTTTTCCATTTCCTAAATTCTATGTCATTTGTCAATTTTTTTAGTATTAATACATAAATTTTAATATGAAATACTCCTTCAACTTCATAATAAATGTTGTGAGAAATTTTTTTAAATAAAATGTCATATTAATTTTTATTTTCTATTTATATTCCTTATAATATTCTTCACAAGATGGTATTTGTATTACATCTTACAGATTTTTTTTTTGTAAAGTTATTATTTTATTTTAATTTTACTCAATTTATGTAAAATTTATTATGAAATAAAGAAAATAATATTTAAATTTGTTATGATAATAAGAAAATAAAGTTAATATGTTAAGATTTGATTAATAAAATCAATTAAAAAAAAGTAATGTGTTGAAATAAAGAAGAAAAGAAATTGTGAGCATACTATATTTAAAGTAAGTTGAATTAAATATATATGTATCTGTTTTAATAAATGCAAACATTGATTAGGAAAAGAGGGTCGGGAGTCAATGCAGGTCAGAGACACGCACCCACACACCCTCGCAAACTCTCTCACACAGAAACTCTGGCGTTTCGCCAAACCCGAAACGTTTCGCTTTTCGACACCATAAAACCAATAACCGCTCCAAACCTTCACTCTCTCTCCGCTACTGCGCCATGGCTGATCCTCTCACCTCCGACCCTCTCCCCGTGCCAGACTCCAAACCAAACGATTCTCACCAACACGCCATAGAAACTCAACGACTCGCTCAATCGCCGTCCGCCGCCGAGTCACTGCGCGCTCAGTTACCCAGTCCACACCAGCCTCATACGGACTCCAATTTAGAAACCCTAGGCGGTGTTCCCTCCTCGGTTGAAACCCTTGCTGTACACCATCGTAGTGACGGTATTTATTTCGTGCAGTGTTTGTTTGTGTCCTTTTTATTATTATTATTTTTATTGAATGTTGAATTGAATCTTTAATTTTTAGTGAATTGTGTGTTTGATGTGACAGATTTGCAGGGGATTTCTGCTGCGCCGAACTCGGGTGACAAAGCTGAAAGTAAGGTTAGAAAGCATTTATCATAGTAAATTTAATTTAATTAATTATAATTATTTTGAGCAATATTTTAAAACTTGTTTTGGTGCGATCTTTTATTTAAGAGCACATGCAATTCTCGGTTAGGGATTCAGTGTGTACTGTAAGTGTAACCTGTTTAAATAGTTTTGCTTAGTTGCTTGCTTGTTCTTATTAGTTGCTATATTGAGGTTCACTGGATCTTTGTATTTCTTTTAAAATCACCTTGTGTTTCTTTGGGAAGTGTTATCATAATAGTAAAATTTGAACTGCTTGAAAGGCAAAATGAAGCGTGAATTTTCCTCTATTTTCTTTCTTTTACTTCCCTCTCTGTTTCATAGGTCTATGAGATGTTGATGGTTAGTTTTGAATGAGTAGTCCAAGATCAGGACAGATAAATGTGAATTTGGATTTAAAATGGTTGCTAGCTTATTACAATAAATCATTCCAGCTTGGGGTTAGGATTTTTAAACTTATTCCAGACAAAGACTTCTCAGGCCTCCTGTATACTTTTTTTTTTTATCCCATTAGGAAGTGGAAGTAGTTGCTTAGAAGCTTCGTAGTATAGAGTTCAAACCTGCTCTTCAAAGTATACTGACGATGGATCTCATAGAAGGAGGAATATAATTAGTTAAAACTTGAAAAAAATAAGAATGAATGTCAGAGTCAAACAATGGGCTGCCATAATCCAAAATCCTATCAGAGGTGCCTGCTGCAACTAATAAATTGTTTGAGACCTGAAGCTTTATGTAACACTTGCATGACGTTTGTGAATATTCTTAGAATACTTTTTTTCTATCTCTGTGGTTTACACTGCGTTTCAACACTGATATCTAATTCTAATATACTTAATAAATGTCTATCTGATGAGGCATTTAGTACTAACAAATCTACAGTCACAAACTGGTAGAGATATAAACCATTGTTGAGCTTTTGTCTAACTTTGAGCTTTGTGGAGAATTGGTCCTTGACATGTTATTAAACCATTCTTGGGCTTCAGTCAACCAAGGGCTTTTTTTTTATTTTTATTTTTTATTTTTTTATTTTTACAAGAACCAGTGAGCTAGATTTTGGAATTTGGCCTCCTATCCCGATTCAGCCTGGGAGCATTCATGATGGGTTCAGAGTTGCATTTTGGTTTGTGTATCAATGTGTGGGCACATGAATATTTTAGATTATGTAATAATGGTCTGAAAGTAATATTTTTGAATTTGAATCAAGTATCATAAAGTCACATGTTCTGTACATCCCACATATTTTTGCCTGCTTTTCCACTAAAGTAGTCCATACTCCATTCCATGCTCAGGAGACAGTTGGACATCCTGAAAAGGAAATTATTGAAGGAGGCGTAGCTCAGCCACTTCAAAATCAGACAGAAAATCGGCTTCAGGCGTCTGTGTGTTCAACTCCATTGTCTGGCCTATCACCAACTTCTGTTACACAATCTTTATCATCTGTTTCTAGCCCAACTGTACGAAAACAGAAAATATCTACACCAAAGGTCAATAACGTGCATGTGCCAGAAGTAGATAAAAAAAATCCTTCTGGTGGCAAAACCTTATCGGCTGTTTCTGTTGCAAGGACATCAGCATCTGATGGATACAACTGGCGGAAGTATGGTCAGAAGCAAGTGAAGAGTCCTACAGGTTCTCGAAGCTATTACAGGTGTACTCATTTAGACTGTTGTGCTAAGAAGATTGAATGCTGTGATCATTCAGGTCATGTGATAGAGATTGTTTATAAAAGTGAGCACAGTCATGATCCCCCACGGAAAACTAATTCTGTCAGGGAAAGCAAGTTTATGTCTTCCAGTGAACCTATTGTAGTAAACAGTGTTCCGGAGCATCCTGTCAGAGTTCTGAAGGATCCTGATCCATCCATTTCTTCAAAAGAACTTCTACAAGAAGCACCCTGCAGCACTGATAGGAAACGACAAAACTCATCTAATATCAGTGGTAATGGTAAAGTTATTTTGGAAGAGGAAAATGCAAAAGAGCCAGAGCAAAAAAAAAGGCAAGTTTGCATATGAATTCATATTTTTTGGAAAAAATTTAGACAATAAGCCCATTTTCTTCTAACTGTGGCAGGACATGCTATTTAATGCTCTTTCCTTTAATTTGATAACCAGAATGAAGAAAGGTGACTTAACAGATGTGGATTCTCCAAAACCTGGAAAGAAGCCCAAGTTTGTCGTACATGCAGCAGGGGATGTGGGGATATCTGGCGATGGTTACCGATGGCGCAAGTATGGGCAGAAAATGGTGAAGGGAAATCCACATCCCAGGTGTGTGTCTGTATAATGCTTACTTTCTTTTTTCTTTTCTTTTTATTTTGTCCAGTCCTTTACATGTTTTTCATATTTTTGCCTTGGAAAATAAGTATCCTTGCATGACCATGGTGAAATTTAAGTTGTATTTAGATTTAGATTTGATGCATGTCTAATTAAAAGGAAAATATAACTTTTCTTTTCCACTTTGGCTAGTTTTTAATTATTGCCCGTATATGTTAGTTTCCCTTTTTCTATGAGTGCTAACCACAGAGCTTTATTAACACTTTCCTATTGTGTTAAGGTTAAAACTTTACTTAAACAATAACTCATAATTATATTTAGTGACCCAGGATAAAAGGCACTTGTATATCCTGTGCATGTTTGTATTAGGCTATTAGCCTAGTTTTTGTTTAGATTCTTTAGAATAACTGAATAAGAAATTTGCTTAAAGAGCTTTTAGCTAGAGTCTATTTTGTGTGAGAATAAACCAAACATGGACTGAGTGGCCAAATTAATGATCGAAACATTTTTCAAAAAAATGTTATATCTAAAAGCTAACGAGACAGGAGGCTTTGGTTAGTTGGTGAATGTGGTATTAAACTGAGACTTGTTTATCCCTTTCATTTCATGTTTCAACAAACGCTGCATTCATCATAGTAGCATGTACTGTATTATTGAAAACTGAACGAATTAGTTCTTCAAGAGAACATATACAGACTCCTGTTTACCAGTAATACCATTTCAGACTACTGTATATCTGTTGGTTGTCTGTTTGCCAAAGAAACCAAAGCTCATAATATAGAGTAATACCCAGAAAACTGGAATTGCTATTATCGTCAGTTGCAACATGTTGACAGTAAAATGTATAAACAGTTAAAAGAAAACTGCATAAAGAGTTTAAATACAAGAAAATTTGAATTTACAGAGGAAGAGGAACTCTTCTGTGAGCATTGGCACAAGTTTGGTTTTGAAATTGAATGTCGTTAGTCATTTGCATAAAGGCAGGTCTTCTTTTAAGGCCTACTGCCCATATAACATAGTAAAACATTTGTCAGAAATTTAAAAATAATTGAATTTTATTGTATTGTTGTTGTACTCCTTTTGAGCGTTGACTACATTATCGGCAATCAGAATTAATTTTTAGGTGGATTTTCCCCCAAAAAATTGTATCTGTGGATTTATCAAAAAAAAATAATGCTCGAGTGAATTTGTAAAAAAAAGTTGGAGTCTGTATATTTTCCTATCTGTCATGAAATTAAACCTTCAATCACTTGTAAATAGTAAGTCAAAATATCAGCCTAAGGTTGATTTATTTTCCCTCCATGAAGAATATCTTTTAACAGTCAATTAGCCATTCTGAAAATTTTATTAACAGCTCTAGTGAGATATTGGCAAGGTCTATTTACCGAGTTAGGTGTTTCTACCTGCATCTCCTATCAAGTCATCTTACCTAATTTGGTCTGGACTCTGAGGAGTTTCAGACATTATGCAGTGTGTTTAGATGCATGTCTTCTGTCTCTTTGGTACAACACGTGATGGAAGCTTCACCTTATTTATTATATAGCTTAGCTTGTCAATGTATTTTCACTTGATTTTCTGTGCTCAAAATCAACAAGAGTCGGTAACTGGGACATACATGTGCTATTTATGTCCAAAACCATTTGGATACAAATGTTCCCTTAAATTTTTCTTTTGGTTTTTGCATTCTTAGTTTGTGTTTGCAAACTTTACATCATTTGCAGTAGGAATAACTTTCATACATTCCTTCCAAAACTCGGTGGATAACATTTCTTATCTTCTAATGTCAAAGATGTGTTGGTGGCGGTGTAGTCCTTTTGCTTCCATGAGTGTGATAAGTGCTGCTTCTAACGAGGCAAAAGGACAAGGCGGATGTCTAAGTGATGAAGCAGCAATTCTGTAAAATAAAATTATCTAGCCATTTAGAGCATGTTTGAGACTGGTTTTCGATTTATTTTCAAAATATGTTTGTGACCTTAATTCCAAAACGCTTCTCAGAATAATTTTTTAACATAATACACCAAAAAAAAAAATGTTTCAATGAACAACTTTTAAAGCATTTCTTAAAAAAAATAAAATTAATAAATTGTCCAGAATAACTTTCTGCCGTTCATCTCCTAAAATCTTTATCCCAACATGCCTACGCCTCTGGAACCATGATGCTAAGCGCTGGCAGTTTCTCAGTGAGACTTTGGTGGCGTAAATGAAGACGATGGGTTGTATCTGTTGTAGAGATGCATCCTCATATGCTTGAAGGTGACTGACATGGAAGAATGTAGGGCGAGTCCCTATTGGTATGGAGAAATCGCAACCATTAAGAGCTCTGCAACTTACACCATGTAAAGAACAGCAGGTCAGCAGGCATACCTGCGGAGAAGAGAAGATGAAGACATTTTTTTTCTTTCTTTTAAATTTACCATTATTTACTATGATACCACAGTACAAATCACTTCTTAAATTGAACGACAAAAGCAGCTTTAGATAGTTCTGGTTTTTCCCTTGGGCACAAAATTCTTGTAGTTTTAAAATCTCCAAATAAAATAAGCCAAACTGACTTTTCTGTTTGTTGATCTTTAAAAATTAGAAAATGATTTCTGAAACAGCCTCCCCCCTCTTTCCTATTCTATTGCACTTTGACTTTCCCCTTTGATGTTTCTTTAATCTGGCCACTGATATTGTAATCTTGAATTTTCAGGAACTACTACAGATGCACTTCTGCTGGATGTCCTGTCAGAAAGCACATTGAGACCGCTGTAGATAATTCAGATGCTGTGATCATAACATACAAGGGTGTACATGACCATGACATGCCTGTGCCCAAAAAACGACATGGGCCACCAAGTGCTCCTCTTGTGGCTGCTGCAGCGCCTGCTTCCATGAACAGTTTGCAGATGAAGAAACCCGATTCCCCACAAAACAAGAAAATTTCTACTCAATGGTCAGTGGACACCGAAGGGGAACTAACTGGGGAAGCCATGGAGCTTGGGGGTGAGAAAGCAATGGAGTCAGCTCGAACACTTCTGAGCATAGGTTTTGAAATTAAGCCTTGCTGAATTCGTCTTTCAGAAACCATCCAGTTGTAACTATATAAATTAATTGGCAGGTCTCTGTAATTTCATTGCTTCCCATGTTTATCCTTTCTTGTTTCTTTGTTTTTCTTCCCCACGTAGGCTTCTCTAGTGGAACACTTGGTGTGTATTTGCTTGTACACCGGTTCAACTTGTCTGAAACAGTTTGCTAGTAGTAGAACGAATATAGAATTGATTGGCATGATTTTATTCTAACGGTCATTAAGAGTAAAGTAACATTGTGGCATTATCATTTTCACTCGATTACTCAAATGATATGGTAGAAATTAGCCTTACATTTTGCCAATTCAACGAAGAGGTTTAGCTGACAATGGACTTGGGCCAAGTAGGGCGTGCAATTGTAAAAATTTTAACGCATTTCATATTTGGTGGGTTTATTTTTTGGTTTTTTTTATATTATTATTATTCTGTCATATTTGGTGGTGCTGGGACCATAAAAGAAGATTGATGGTGCTATAGTGTTTGTATAAGTTCCAATGCGTAGGGCTTATATTCCATACGGCGGATTTAGCATTTGCTTTTACCGCCTTTGGTTTTGTCAAATTTTCACGTAAATTTGTGAGATTGGTGGTTTTGTAAAATTCTTCTTAAAGTGAGCATTTTAAGGTTCAAATCCTTGATATCATAGATGAAAATATATCTAAGAACTTACTTTTTAATATAATTAATTAGTGCATTTTCTTGTTGTACTGGTTGATAGAAGATTTTGACAACCAAGAAAAAGAAAAGGTCTAAATCTGGATGCTTGGATACGTTTAAATTATGGTTTATAAACTATGGTTTAGCCTAACGATAGTGTTACTTAAATTATGGCTTGGAATTTAAAATCATGTTTTTGGCTTGATCATGATTTTTTGAAACATGTTATTTGTAAAAGGATGTTTTTCCTATCTAGTAACTCGTAGTCAAAACTAATTCTTTTTGAGATGTAAAAATTATTAAAGTGAATTTTATTTTTCTAAACAAAGTCTTTTCCATATACATGATATGATATCAAACCCTTCATGTTATTTGTAAAATTTAGTTTACAGTCTCCAAATTATGTTCTAGGGTGTGTGAATTACCATCTAACATGCACTCAACCTCTTAAGTTGCATTTTGGCCGATTATGAACTTCTGCTTGTTAGCAAGAGAGCTAAGATTTAGTTTCGCATTCAATCTACACTCGCATAACCCACATTTCATCAAATGAGCTTAAAAAATCAGCTTGACGAAATAGTTTTTATTTATTTATTGGTTTTTCAGTCTCTACTTCCAAAGCAAACTACTTACTTTTTCTTTGTTTTGGTGAATATTGTGGTCGATTGTCCTTATAGTTGGTATTTGGTCGTTGATAAAACTTGGTTACTGCATGTGACATTGCTTGTAAATTATATAGGAATTTACACTGAAATTACAACTAATTTGAGTGGGAAAGGCAAGGCTAAACATAAAAGTAGGGCTTGTGTTGTTAAAAAAAAAAAGGTAGGACTTGTGTTTGTTTTATCTATTGTCCACAAACAAATTCTGCATAAAATAATTTTGACGGGAAAAAAATCAATTTGATTAACATCAAGATTGGAGTTAGGTTTTTGTTAATTGCAAATAGCAAATGAGAACAAATTTGGGGTATAAATACTTATCCCTAACCTGACTCATTGCAATAATAATTATTGTTTAGCAATGGTTAAGATATGAATGAAGTTTATCTTACATATTTATACTAGAAAAAGTTTTTTTTTTTTCATTTATTGTGAATTTTTAAGTTTATGCTTATCTATTACTAGTATTTTCTTTAAAATGTGTTTAATATATAATTTATTTATAAATATGAAATTACATAAAATAAAAAAGAGACCGGGGTAACGTGGGGACAAGTTCCCTAATGATTGTATATATGGTTTGTTTACTTTTTCAAAATAATTTTTATTTATAATCTCTATTTTCGTAAATAATTACAAAACCACTATCTCATTTTCACTTTATTTTTAAAGTGTTGCACACAAAATTATTAACATCTATTTACATTTCCTCCTTTATTTGTACTCCAATTAACAGTTCTTTATTTCTTCCATCTCTTCATCTAAACAATAAAAAAGAAAAAAATAATACTTATTTTTTATGTTTACCTCTATTTTTTTGTCATTCTTGTTTAATCTTGCTTTTAAGAGAGATTACGGTTGTAAATTAAAGTAGATACGGTTGTTAGCTCAAACAATCAAGGATTTATAGGGAAACCTTTTTTTTAATGGTTATTGGTTTCAAATCACAATCAAGTTATTGTTTTAAATATTGTTAAGTAGACATCTTTCTTTTAAAAATTTCCCATTGCCACATAAATTAGTTGAGTAGTTATAATTAAATAAAATTATTTGTAATTTGTGATGTACAATTATGTAGGTTGAATTCCTATATATTTCTCTATTTCATTGATGATTGATAGATTGGTAGTGTCAAAATAAGTCAAAAATAATGATTTGACTTTAATAACTTGATGTATGATGTGGGTTGAGTTAAAGAAATTCAAGTCTAATGTTAATTTGATATAGTTAAATCTTTGAAAAAATTAATTAGTTTATGTAGATTTGTGACATGTCTAATTTTGAGTTCATAAGATCTCACATGTCTCAAAGTGAAATAAATTTTAAGAAATTTTTATGTATGAATTAAGTAATAAGTTATGAATTTAACTCAATTTTATATAATGAACTTTTAAGGTGAGAATTATCTTTTACTTATATATACTAGTATACTCATATATTTATAAGATGTGGAATCTCCAATATATCTCTCTCACACATAGGACTAAACATCTTAAAGGCAAGTTTACAAGATTAAATATTTGTGGATAATGTGATAATGATCCAATGACAAATGGTGTGTAAAATTAGTAACAATTAGTAATTGCTAAGATATAGGCTATGATATCATATTAAAAAATGAGTTAAAAATTGAATTTAATCTTATAAAATTGACTTATAAATAAAATTATTCTCCATCTATACACATTAGTATGTTTATATCTCTAAACAATATAAGATCTTTAAATGTGCTTTTAGTAACAATGAAAATAAGAGTACAACTGAGAAATGTGTGAAAATTATTATTGATCAACGGTTTGGGACCATGGAAATTGCAACGATTTGAGGAAAAAATAACATAGATCCCACTCAAAAAATTTTCTCACAATTTTCTGTAAATTTATGAATAAACAACTTTACACATACAACATAATCAATTATGTTGTAAAAAACAATTGATTATGTAAGTCTTTTTATATGTAAAATAATATTTAAAAATAATAATACAATAATAACATAAAATAAAATATTAATATTAAAAATATTAATAAATTTACTCATTAAATTTATATTAAAATATTTTTTAAATTTTTTTCTCATTTCGCCTATATTTTTCTCTCTCTATCAAATAACATCAATTTTTTACCTTCTTCTCTATTTACTTTCTTTCTGTTTTTTTCTCTTTACTTCTTTCCTATCTACCAAACAAATAACAAGAATTTGTATTTTATATCATTTGACGTAATTTGAGTTCAAACATATGAACCTATATATTCGAACATCCACCTAAGGTTAGTGACGAGATGAATTAGTTTGTTATCTTATTTTTTTATATTATTATTATAGCTTTTATCAAATTATAAATACATTAAATAAGATCTAAATGAATTCCTTATATATATATATATATATGAATTTTTTATATATATATATATATATATATATATATATATATTATTAAAGGGGAGTCATTTTTACAAAGAGGTAAAGCAAATCCATGGAACTAGCCTATTTAACCAATGGTTTTCGGCATGTAACCAACTGTATTTCAGTTCAATTTAACTAAAATACTCATTATTAAGCAAAAACAACTTTTATTTATTTATTTATTTTTGAAGAGACCAAGACAACTTATTGCTTATGAGTTGAAAAATCCAAAATTAGCACCCCTAATCCTCTGTAGCCGGCAAACTAGAAGTGCCAAAATTGAATTCGGTGGTTAACTATAATCTTTTCACAGTCACATCATTTCTTAACATAAATAGGTAAAGAGTTTAACATCTATATGATAAAAATCTGTAAAATAACCTTATATTATAATTTAATTATAAATTATTATATATAATAAATTTGTTAATTCTTATGATAATTATTTTGAAAATCATACTAATAATAATTTTTGATTAATTAAAATTGTAAATTGTTTTGCATGAACAATATAATTAAACTCATAGTTAAACACTAACAACTAATTAGAAATATAAAAAAAGAATATTTATAGAGTTAATTTTATATTCAAAATTTACTATGTCATATTGGTATAAAATAATTAAAAATTACTATCATAAATAGTTTGATATTTATGTTTTCTAATTAAAGATCAATACTCAAAATGAAATCACTATTAAAAAATATAAATTTATTTTTAAAATGAACTGATTTCTTGATAAACATTTTACTTTTATAATAGATCAATGAGAGAGATTTATATTTTTAATTAGAAAAATAATATATTAAATATATTGATTTTTTATTCTTACAACTTTTTGTATTTTAATTTTGGTATTTAAAAATTAGGTTAACAACCTAATTATTTCGAGTCAATAAATGAATATATTTAAACTAACATATCATTATTATTATTTTTAATTCTCACCGAACTTGACTTAAATAATTTTGTGTTTTTATAAAAGGGTGATTGTTACTCGCCTCACTCACTCATGTCATGAGCGTTCTTACAGTACTCTTCCTTTCTCTCACCTCACTCACTGTCATCTCATCTCTCACATTTTTTTTATATCTTCCTTTGTTTTGATCAATCTCTCATTCTCTCATTCTCTTCAATCTTCAACGTTTCTGTTATTCTCACTCCTAAACCCCAACCCTATCCCCGCATTTTTCCCGGTGAATTTCTTTGCCATTTTCCGAGAAAGGAAAAAAAAAAAGGTGTATGAAGACTGTTAAGGAATGCGTGTAAGTGAGGTTGCATTGCAGTGCTGAGAGCAGCCTCCTTCTCCACAATGCAGAGTGAAGATTCTCTCAATCCCATTTCCAGACCCACAACTCCTACACAATGCAACTCAACTTAAACCCTAGCTTTGCTCAAAAGGGTCAACACCTTGATCCTGTTGTGTCACCAACAGCTTCTACCTTTCTGGCTTTTGAGCTGATTTCGGAATCTGGGCCTCAGAGGAATGCGGGTTTGCTGTCTCAATGCCTCTCAAATTGAAGTCTTTGGATGTGATGCCCAGTGCAGTGCATATTTGAGGTGAAAATCCGAGATCTGCTTAGAGGCCCACAACACTGCACACCACGTGTTCGCTAAAAGTTACACAATGGTCATGCTTTCTGCTGTGTCCTAAGGGTTCCTGTGAATTTTTCTGGGTAGTGGGTAGCTGATGGATGGTTAGAAGATAAAAAAAAAAAAAAAAAAAGGAAGAAGAAGAAGAAAAGAAGAAAAAGACACAATTCTCTGAAGGGGTGAGTGGTGAAGTGAACAAGCAAAAAATAAATTGAACCAAAAAAACTGTGTCAATGTCAGGTCCCAGATTGAGGTCTATGAATGTTGGTGACTCAGAGGCAAGGCCTGTTTTTGGACCTGGTGGGAACAAGACAGGGTCATTGAGTTCTCGGAAACCAGCTTCGAAGCCTCTGAGGAAACCTGAGAGATTGCACAATGATGTTGCTTCTGCCAAAGAGAAGAAATTCTGTGAAGTGTCTTCGGTTGTTGCTTCTCCTCAGTCACATTCTGTGAGTGTTCTGCGCCGGCATGAGCAGTTGCTGCATTGCAATTTGTCTCTCAATGCTTCGTGTTCGTCTGATGCATCCACTGACTCGTTTCATAGCCGGGCTTCTACTGGAAGATTGACTCGGTCTAATAGCTTGGGGTGCACAAGGAAGCGCTCTGTGTCAAAGCCTAGAAGTGTTGCTTCTGATGGTGTATTGGAATCCCCTCCTCATGGTTCACAATCCAAGAAGAGGTGTGCTTGGGTCACTCCTAACACTGGTTCGTTCTTCTCCTTTTTCATTTTCTCCAAATTCCTACTAAGAAGACTAGTCATGCTGTGATGATAAATTGGTTTTACCATTGGATAAACTTCTCCCAAGTACTTATAGGAGAATAAAATAGTAAGAGAAAACGAAATTAACTTCTTCATAAGATAAAATTTCCTGATGTTCTAATTAATTTTTTTTTAATAGAGAAACTATGAAAGAACTTCTTCAATTTAGCTAATGCATAAAGTAATTTTAGTTTAGGGAAAAAATAGTTGAATTTTTTTTTTTTCTTTCTATTTTCTTCTTTTTGGAATAGTTTATCCAGACAGACTATAAGCCTTTTTACATATAGTTTATGTTATCTGGTCTTATTGGAGCTCATATTGATGCAATGTGAATTGTGTGATTCTCACTTGGTTTCGAAATGAAATTCGGTTCTTGAAGATTTGAGATTTTTTTTACTTTACATGTATAACTCCGTTTGAATATTTGTATTCTTTCGGATATAAATTAATGTGCAATGAGAGTGAAGTCAGGTTTGTTAATTTAAAATATTTGAGTTCTTCTCATTTGCTTGAAATATAATATTATAATACAACATGCATGTGTTTGTGGCTGAAATGTAATATAACATGCAACGAATGTATGCTTATTTTCGTGGATTTTAGTATGTTTTTCAACTATTTAAAAGAAAATTGGGAATCCTAAGTGAATGCATGGTATGATCCTGATATAGGTTGATAGCAGTAGAGAGGAATGTACACAAGCCATACTTTTCTCGGAAATTCCTCTATAATTCTTGTTGAGTTTTAAGTTCTGAATTAAATTGGCTTTTTTCTGAGTTCTATTTCCTGACTAAGTTTACCCATTGATATTAGAACCATGTTACGCTACCTTCCATGATGAAGAATGGGGAGTTCCAGTCCATGATGACAAGTATGTGATGTGATCCACAAAATGTAATCTTGTTATATTGGCTGGAAACGGAATGTGCCTTCTGTCGTTATATTTTGCTTGACTCTCTTTATCTTGTGTAGGAAACTATTTGAGCTTCTTGTTCTTTCTAGTGCTCTGTCTGAACTCACTTGGCCAGCTATTCTAAGCAAAAGGCACATTTTTAGGTATTACCTATGTAGATGTCTAAATTTATTTTATTTTTTAAAATTATTATCCATTCTTAGCCTCAAACCTGTACTGGTTGGCTGCTACCTCAGCTGTAGCCTATTGTTTTCTCTTTGGCTGTTCACATTATTTTTGTTAACAAAGTTCTTTGCAGGGAAGTTTTTGCGGACTTTGATCCTGTTGCTGTCTCAAAATTTAATGAGAAGAAGCTAGTGGCACCAGGAACCACTGCAAGCTCCTTACTTTCCGACCTTAAATTGCGTGCTATAATTGAGAATGCGCGTCAAATATCAAAGGTATATTAGTTTTCTAACGACTTTTGCAACCTTCATTATGGAATATGCAAACTCTTGGGTTGGATCATGATTACTTATTGATTGCTGGACCATTCAAAGACCAGATTACAGCCTTATTGTTATTACACCGTCTTATCCCAAATTCATTGTTCTATATTACGTGTCCCTGGATTTAATAACATGTCGAGGGAACAAGTGATCTAGGTGGTACTTCTTACTTCCTTGTTTATGATCTTTGAATTAAGAGGAATATTGGGGTGCCGGCATGTGTATTCTTATTAGGCATTGCAAATAATCCACTACTTAGGATGTGTTTAGGAACTAATTGAGTTTAACTTAATTGGAGTTGAAAAAAAAATTACAATTAAGTTATTATTTTTTTTGCATTGGAACATATATTTTTCAATTTAACGTGATTTTAAAATGGTATCCAAACATAACTTAATATTTTTCAAGTTTGGAAGCATTTTTTAACAAATTGCGTCTGTATTTAACAGAATAGTGGAGCCACTTTAACTTAAATGCTAGATTTCGAAACAGTTGGGCAAGCAAGATAATTCAATTCTGTTTTGATAAATAACACTTTTTGTTCTCTTTTTAAAGAATATTGGAGTTGCTTTTCTCTGATTTTAGTTTAGTATTCTAACTCATGTAATTATATCCACGGGATCTCTTAAAGTTTGCTGAAAAATCAATTAATTAAAATTATGTTTTCTTCCCATTTCCTCTGCATTGATCAACTGAATGACTTAAAATTGGTGTGTAATGGTCTTTTGATCAGGTAGGTTAGGTAATAAAGGTAATTGGGTTGTGGTACTGACACCTATTCAATTTGTATGACCCATATGGGACAAACCATGATATTAATCCACTTTACGGCCCGAGCTTCTTTTATTCTAATTTGCAACAATGATATGCAACCTAATTATATTTATTCTTTAACCAGCCAGCATGCTTAGCTGGTATGTCCCAAGTCACCTATCAGTCTTAATACTTTTCCAAACACAAAACACTACAATGCCCTTATTTCACTGAACTGCCATAATTGCAATTTGCACCATGTTTATCAATGATTATCATTGCAACTAACTTTTTGCAGGTTTTACTGATGCCAGGTCATAGAAGAGTTTGGGTCATTTGACAAGTATATTTGGAGTTTTGTGAACCACAAGCCTATAATTAGCAGATTCCGATATCCTCGACAGGTTCCTGTAAAAACACCAAAAGCTGAAGTTATTAGCAAAGACCTGGTGAGAAGGGGTTTCCGAGGCGTGGGTCCCACGGTTATATACTCCTTCATGCAAGTTGTGGGGTTAACAAATGACCACCTCATCAGTTGCTTCCGATTCCAAGATTGTATGGCAGCAGCAGAAGGGAAGGAAGAGAATGCCATCAAGGATGATTCTCAACAAAAGGAGTGTGATCATGTGATGGAATCTAATCTGTCCATTGCCATCGACAATTTCAGTTTCTCCTCAGAGTGAACGATGACTCAACTCTGTTGGCTCTATTGGCACCTCATCATCATCTAGTAAACCCAATTCATACTACTTAGGCCTTAGATTGAGTCATGATGGAGGAGACCTTATGTACCATCTCATGAAATCCTTGAAACTGAAAGCATAGTTAGCTAAGTTAAATCAACTCAGTACCTATTACCTAACAACCCATGCTGGTATGTGGCTTCTCGAGTGAGGCCTTAACAAATTGGTGTACAATTTTTTGTACAGTCAAAAATATCGGTGATTACAAATATCTTTTATTAAGCCATTGGCAGCAGTTGATACAGTACATAACCCTCTCTTTGTTACCTTCTCATTCTGATTACAGTTACATGCATGCATTGTGTTGGTTGAACTGATTGATGCGTCCCACTTTGTGATGGATGACAATGATAGAACAGTGACAGCGTGTTTATTTGTCACCGTGGGAGCAGGACTACTCATTCTTGATAGATATGTTGCTACGTTTGGATTCCACCAACAATGGTGGGGCATTGCTTTGTCCTTGAAAATGATAACTGTGACGGATGGTGGCTTGTCACCACCAGTGTCTCATATCTCTTTCTGCTCCATTTTCTCCCAATCTTACGCTAAATCTTTATGACTCGTTTTTTCTAGTAACCAAGAACACTTTCTCACATCATCGGGCACATTTGTCTAATGTTTATTTTTCATGAACCTTTTGTTTACCACCAAAAATAAAAATCAGTTATTCCTGTGTTCTACTCCTTGCACGAGTAATTTATATAAACGGACAAAAAACAAAGCAATTATAATAATAATTACGAAATGATTCAAAATCTGTAAAAAATTCAATGCTGTGCCTTTTATAGTCTTTCATAATCCTTGAGAATAATGACCTTTTTTGTCTCGTGTACATGAGCTCTTTATTTTCTGTGTGTGAAGACAGCTGCAGAAGCCTATGAAGGCATAAGTCCATCTGATAAGGAATCTTGATTTTTCCAAGATGATAGCTAAATCACTTTTATTTAAGTTAAAAAGAAATGTTATTAGAATAACATATTATCGAGTTACCGAGAAGAGCACCACAATCAAAGGGAAGATATGTTATCTATGTCTGCATATGTAACCATTTACAACAAACAAAGGACAGAAAATATCCAACAATATCTACAAACTAACAAACCATTACTACTGTGAGATAAATATATCATAAGCAAAAATCCCTTATAAGATCCGAGAATGACGTTTGCTATCATTCAACAGAAGGCAAGTTTAGCAATAAATATAAGCATATCAACACTAGACTCAATTAATTTAGATTGGTCGTAAAAGAATATTTTCCATTTATGCTTCATATATTGTCTATTGGCTAAATGTTCAGAACTCGGAACATTTTATAGAGTATTTCAAATAACTCTATCCGTTAAATATAATAATATCAGCCATTTCGAAAAATCAATAATCAAACTGAGGTGAATTGAATGATATTTCATAGACGAACGATTTATTGCCAGCAATAAAATGATCAACAAGGTGTCGGGTATATTTCAGAATTTTCTAAAATATTCATTCGATATTATGAAAAATGTGGAGATTGATGAGCTAGATAGTATGAAGAATCTCATTTGAGATCAATTTGAGTAATTTTTCAATATGGAAGAGAGGTTGAAATTGTAAACACTTTAAATAATAGAAGAAGCAATGTTCAAGCTTTGAGAGTGAAAATATGTGGGAGACATCGAGGCATGTGGCATTGTGTAATATAAGATATAAGATTATAGGGACTCGTTGGTAATTATGATATGATATAATATGATATAAGAGATACAATAAGATTAAAATATGATAAGAGTATGATAAACTTTAATCATATATATGATATAGTATATTTTTGTAGGTGTTGGAAACAATTTTTTTTTTTTTACGTACAATAATGATGATGAGAAACATACTAAAATAACACCATAAAAGAAATAGGAAAAAATCTCACAAATTTATTTAACGTGGTTCAGCCCTTCATGTCTACGTTCACAATGATGTTCATTATTTATTTTAAAACGTGTTACATATATCTTGAAAATCTTCCCTTCAAGTTTTGTGGGTTAAACTTGAAAACCCCTTCCTCACATGTTTTATGGGTGAAACTTGTAAACCTCTTCCTCACAAGTTTTATGGTGAAACTTAGAAATCCCTTCTCACAAATTTTCTGGAGAAACTTGAAAACCATCATTCACAAGTTTTTCTGGCGAAACTTAGAAACCCTCATTCATATGACCTCCTCTCTCATTTAAGGCGATGACCCCCTCTATAGGTCGGGTGGTTCTTCTCATCTCAAGAGTCTTTATTTATTGATCTTACATCACTATTTTAAAAAAGGAAACAAATCTCTAAAATAAATATAATATATTTTAATTCTAAACAATATTAAAAAAGAATCAATATCTTTTAAAATCTAAATAATATCTTAGAGATTTGAATTTAAAAATTTGAATTGTTTTCCCAACAGTAGGTATTTAACTTTGCGTTAAAAAAAAACTCTCGTTTATTATCATTAAAACTTTGAGAGATACAAAATTGTCATTTAACTTAACAAATATAAATATGTATTTTAAAATTATTTATTTATAATTTTATTTTATTTATTACCTTTTTGTTGTGCACAGGGGGTTACCACACACATACACATGTCTCCACATTGATAAGATATTGTTCGTTTTGGACCCAAGCCCTCTCTATCAATAGAGACAACTGTGTGTATATAAACTCATGTTCATCCTTTTGTTTGAATGATGTGAAACTTTGCTTGCATTAACAATCCTCCCCTCAAACAAAGGACCATGGTTTAACCCCTTCCTTGCAACGGAAACTACGAGTATTATCTGATGATGGCCCATAGAACTCTGAGTACTTGCACCGCCGCTCCATCATGACCTCATGACAGCGGGACACGCCTCCTAACCCTCCACCGTTTAGGAAGACTTTCAATACAAGGGATCCCAAATTTGGATCCACCTGTGCCAGCCATCATATTCGTTCACCTGATCAGACTATCGGTTCTGATACCACTTGTTGTGTATCGGGGATTACCACACATATACACATGTTGTACATTGGTAAGATATTGTCTACTTTGGGCCTAGCTTCACGATTTTGCTTTTGGATACCATCCAAAAGGCCTCTCTACCAATGGAGACAATTATGTGTATATAAACCCATGTTCATCTTCTTATTTGAATGATAAGGGACTTTGCTTGCATCCCAACACTTTTTCATTTAAACTTTTATATTTTATCAAATATCCAGGCATCCACATAGATGTCAATGAATATATAAAAAAAATTATGAATACTCACTAAATAAATAGCTAAACTAAACAAAGAGGGTGATAAAGGGCTACTACTCGTCTCCCACCCTATTTTGTTGTCATCCTTGCATGTGAGGCTATGTGATTGGTACCGATTGATTGTATAATTTTGTTACATTTGATTGATATTAAGTAATTATTAATTTGATTTAATCAATAATTATATATATTATTAATTATTAATTATGTTAATTTATAATTAAAAATTTGAACTTATTAAAAAGTCAATTATTAAAAAATAATAAACAGTAAATAACTATTATTAATTAGAAGCAGTATTTAAAAAAAAACTATAATATAATTATAGTTTGTATCGAGTAATGTGAAATTGCATTACTTATATATATATATATATATATATATATATATATTTCTCAGTAAGTTATATGTGAAAAATAATATTTATTATTATTTTAAAAAATTAAAATTATAAGTTAAAAATAAAAAATAAGTTTTTATATATGTATATTATTTAATTTTTATATTGATTTTCAAGTTGTTAATATATTAAATAATGACTGAGAGTCCTAATTTTTTAAATAAATAATTAAAAATTACAATTGAAGTAAAATGTGATAAACAAAAATGTTAATTGCATGTAAAAATACTAATTACAAATTACATATCTTTTATTACATGAGAGTCTTCTATGACAGTTGGATTACCAAATAATGAGAAATTATTTTTTCTGCCTCTCCTGGATTAACTTTGCCACCAATATCTTAAACAGTGAACCATGGAGGAAGACGTCATCCTTGAAAATAGTTTTTTTCTTACCGGAGATCGGTAAGAGGAATGATCTGCTTGGCAAGATTGGTAAGCCTCCTTAGCTAGATACACTTACTGTTCCGAGTGGCGGTGGTACCTGCAAAAGAGACTCCAATGCTAAAGTTAGTGTTTGTGGGTGTATGAGTCTCATATAAGTAATGCACGTACCTTTGTGTAAATTATGGTTTTTCTGGATCTTGAGCCTGAGATCGGTTACAATCTGTTTAGATAGTGGGCCTTATCCTGGCCGATGTCGCGTAGCACGTATCCGATGTCAATCCGCGTTGTGATGCCAAGCTTGAACTCGATTTAGCCGTACGAATAGTACAATTTTTTTAAATTAAAAATGAAACAGAAGTAAATAGATGTGAAACGATTACAATAAGGAAAAAGGTAAATATATATACACACACTAGTATTCACATTTTATTACTAAAAGTATTTTTTTTTATATAAAATAAAAGATATAAAATAAAATTATATATATATATTTGAACCTTAATAATAATACATGGTTAGTCATTATGTATAATTTCAATTAACAATTAGTTGTATTTATTTATCTAATAGAATCTTAGTAATAATTAGAGATGAGAATAGATCATGATGAATGATGAAGTGACTCATAATTTTCACCATGATATTTATTAAAATAAAAAATTAAATTAAATAAATTAAAAATATATATTTATATTACAAATATTTTAGTACCATATATCTATAATAAAATAAATAATAAATAATATCACGTATATTTATAATAAAAATCAATTAAATCAAATTACTTCACATATAATTAATAACTCAAACAAAAAAAGAGAAACATACACACATATCACTCGGTTAGAGAAAAGTAACCTCTTAACCCGATGTTACAAATATATTATTATAAATTTAAAAATATTTCATTGCAAATCATTCGACGAATTCTTTGAATATTTTATAGAGTAAATATCAAATGAAAAGTCAATGTATTAAAAATTTTAGAAATAGAAAATACAATCAATTATTTCTTTAATTAAATTTTCAAAAATATTCTATAAACATTTTTTGTTCCTTTTATGACTGATATTAATATACATTATTATATAATATAATTTCTGGAAGGCGTGACAAAATCATAGTTTTAAAAACCGGACCGGTCATCGAACCGGTTAAGGTATTGGGTCAGTGAGTCAAAGGTTGAACCGGTGGGTCACTGATTGAACCGCATGACTCGATTTTTATTTATTTTTATTAAAAAGTATTCATATTAAATATATTTTATACTTATAAATTTTAATAAATTCATATCTTATTTTAAATTTCAATTTTTCTATCTTATTTAAAATTATTTTTATTTTTATTTTGTAAAAAAATACATAAAAAAATTACATGTTAAACGGTATATTAATACAAATTAAAAATATAAATAATATGCACATATATAATATGCTTGCAATTAATATCACAAAATAATATATGTAATATTTACATAGATATTGAATTATTAAATATATAATTTAAAATTAATAATATACTATAAAAGTTATTTAAGTTGTATATATTGCAAACAAATATATTAGAACAAGTAGTCATTGTTATATTTAATAAGACTCCTTACTTTTTCATTAAGAGATTCAATTTTCATTATTATTTTTGTGATTTATGGTCCCTTAAAAAATTATAAAAAAAAGAAGTAGTTGAACCGGTTTGACCCACTGGTTCACCGGTTGAACCGGAAAATTGACCGGTTCAATCCGGTTTGAAACGGGTCGATTGCATAACCGATCCAACTTCAGATTCAGACCGGCTGGACCACCGGTTCCCGGTCCAATCGATCCGACCGGCCGGATCGGTCCGGGTTTTAAAACACTTGGCAAAATGGACAATGGTGGCGCATGATAGTTCTGACAAAGCATCCAAAGGAAAGCATCTGAGGATGGGAAAAAATGAAGATAACCAAGAAAGTCTCTTGTCTCATTGCTCTCTCTCTCCAAAAGGGTGAGGAATAAAATAAATCTAAATGAACAATTAAATAGTTTTAAAATGATTAAGAGAAAAAATAATTCTATTTGTCTTATGACATTTATTATCACTTTTCTGTTTTCTTTTTCTCTCCTGTATCCTCTAACTATTTAAATTCTTTTATACTAGGTTAATTCTAATTCATCTTTTTATAAAAATAAAAATTATTAAATAAAAATCACATCTTCCATATATTAATTTTTTTAATATATTCTAATTCCATATATTTCAGATAAATTTTTTTTTTTATATATTTGAATATATTAAAAAAGTCATTTTTATATGATATTTTATTTTTAAGAAAATATATTATCCATATAATAAATTAAAATCATATTAATAATAATCTTGACTAATTGAATGTAGCGATAATGCATGATGATTCAACCATTTATTTTATTTTATATTTGAAATTAGAATAAGAAAAATTGGGATTAAAAGAAAAGGCAAAATAAAATTTAGCATACAACATAAATGCGACGAGAAATTGAAGGAAAATAAAGATGGAAGAGTGAGTATAAATAAGGTACAGTCACCCACACGGAAATGGCAGCCATTGCAACCATTTTGGTTTGTTTCAAAACCACTTCGTCTTCTCCGTTTCTCGCTAGACTCGCCTCGCGTCTCCATTTTGCTGCATTCCCTCTGCGTTCTCCATCGAGGAAACTCATGACGCACACTCTCGCACGTGCCACTCTCGGTCTCACACATCCCGCTGATATCGAAACCCCCAAGGTCAAAATTCCTTAACTCCTTTTTCTCCCTCAATCTTTCCTGCCCATGTTTTGTTTATCCCTGTTATGTTTTGAAGATGACAAAAGTTAACAACTTGCGATTTTTTCTCGTTGTGGGGATTTACTTTTAAATTTGACTATTTGGGGATGCGTAATTGGATTTGAAATGTATTGTTGTATGTAATGTATTTGTGTGTGTTTATTGCTGTGATGCCGAAATGCTGTTTTGTGTTTGTGAAAATTCGTGGAAGATCTGTTTTGCTGCCAAGGATGTTGATGTGACTGAATGGAAAGGGGACATTTTAGCAGTGGCTGTTACCGAGAAAGACCTGACTAGAAATGCAAAATCCAAGTTTGAGAATGTGATTTTGAGCAAGATTGACTCAAAGTTGGGTGGTCTTTTAGCTGAAGCCTCTTCTGAAGAGGATTTCTCTGGCAAAGTTGGTCAATCAACTGTTCTTAGAATTACAGGACTTGGATCGAAGAGGGTTGGATTGATTGGTCTTGGACAATCACCTTCCACTCCAGCACCTTTTAAGAGTCTTGGTGAGGCCGTCGTGGCGGCGGCCAAGTCTTCTCAAGCAAGCAGTGTTGCCATTGTCCTTGCCTCTTCTGAAGGACTCTCTGCACAATCAAAGCTTAGCACTGCTTATGCAATTGCCTCTGGTATTGGATTCATGGTTTATATTTGTTTGATATTTATAAAAGTTTGTGATATTTGTAGTAATGCCTGACTATGCGTGGGCTTGAAATATGCCAGGGGCTGTGCTGGGAATATTTGAAGATAATAGATACAAGTCAGAAGCAAAGAAAACATCACTTAGATCCATTGACATTATTGGTCTTGGGACGGGACCTGAACTGGAGAAGAAACTTAAGTATGCAGGAGATGTTTCTTCTGGAGTTATATTTGGAAGGGAGCTTGTAAATTCTCCTGCTAATGTGCTCACGCCAGGTTTATATGACACTTTGAATGTACATGATATTTATTATATGATGTGATATGTTGTTTCTATTTCTTGCAGTTGCGGGCAGGAAATTGGCCAATTTCATATATGTGAAGGAATTATGCTTTTCTAAAATTTGATTTGTGCTTTATAACTTGTTTATCTCAGGAGTGTTGGCAGAAGAGGCAGTTAAGATTGCTTCCACCTACAGTGATGTTTTCACTGCTAAAATATTAAATGCCGAGCAATGTCAGGAATTAAAAATGGGGTCCTATCTGGGTGTTGCTGCAGCATCCGCAAATCCTCCTCATTTTATCCATCTATGTTACAAACCTCCAAGTGGACCTGTCAATGTCAAACTGGCTTTAGTTGGAAAAGGTTTGACTTTTGACAGGTAAATAGTGTAACTATTTCTATTTTATTTTATCTACAACTCAATAAGAAACTGATCAATCTGAAATGGGGTTTTCCCTAGTGTTTTATCCATGGTTTTGATTTTGATATTATAACTCCATCTGTTGTGACGTTATAGTTTCAACTGGTTATGAAGTTATAACTTCATATATGAGATTTTCCCTATTAATCAATTGGATCGATTCCAGTATAATAACTTTAACCAGAGAGTGATCGATCTGAAATGTGATTTTCCTATTGTATCTTCCATGGTTTAATTTTGGTATCATAACTTCAATTGGTTGTGAAGTTAAAGCTAATATCTGCTGGTGGATAAATCTTTGATGAGTTATTAAGTAGATTGTTTCATTGTATCCATCCTATTTTGGGTGTTTGGCAAGCCATTTCAGTTAGCTTATAAGCTTGTTTCATCAAAATAAAAGTGTTTCGTAAACGAACTGGTCCCATTAGCTCATAACATTTTTTCGTATGCTACATGAAGTGGAAAAGTCTTGTGGCTTCTCCTGCATTGAGCATTTAAATTAATTTTTCATGTTTAATTTTTTATTCCTTTCAAATACTATTTCAATAAAGATGATATTGTGATTTTAATAATTTATTTTTCATAATTTCCTCATTATTTTTAAAAGTCTCGTCTTTTTTTATTTTTTCTTATTTAATAAAGTATTCATCATTAATAATGAAAACATCTATTATTCTCTTTAGTTTACTTTTTTTATTTTGTTATCTGCATATTCTAGTGGTGGCTACAACATCAAGACTGGACCTGCCTGTTCAATTGAACTGATGAAATTTGATATGGGTGGTTCAGCTGCAGTTTTAGGCACAGCAAAAGCTCTCGGTCAAATCAAACCTCTAGGGGTGGAGGTCAGTCATTTATGTCATTAGTCATTACTTTTTCTTCCTTTGCATAGAATAACATTTGAATTGATTGACAAACACATAGTATCCTATGTCTTTCTCCGTCTTTACTTAGAGGTGTATTTGGTCATGTGTGGGATGTGGCAAATCATGCATTCATTTATATAAAACCAATTGCAATTTTTTTCCGAGTCTTAGTTAATGTTTTTCATTAAAAAAGACCTATTCAATATGAATTTTTCATTTCTTTTCTGGTGGCCAATTTCCGGTGGTATGATTAGTTTAGAGTTCTAGTGGATATTGTCTGGTGTGATTTATGGTGTAATAATAATAAGTCTTGCATATGCAGGTTCATTTTATAGTTGCGGCTTGTGAGAATATGATTAGTGGAACCGGTATGAGGCCTGGAGATGTTGTCACAGCTTCAAATGGAAAGACTATAGAGGTGAGGGTTTACTAGATTTTTTATTTTTAATATGTAGATTTTGTGCATTAAATTTAACTTGTTTTATGTGATACCGACTCATAGTATTTTATGGATTTTCTGTTTCAACCATTTCTTTGCTGCTTTCCATTTTTTAAATAAACATATATAAGGTCCAATCCAATGTATTTCTTACGTAACGAAAACGTAATCGGTGCTTCTTGGAATATTTTATTTGAACGTTTGATTGAAATGCATAAACTATTTCCTGTTAATAAATGTTCTCTTTGAATCTTCTATGATGTTTTGGGATGTAAAGAACTATGATTACCATTTTCAGTCAATCAGTACTGCAAATTTCCTTTTGCTACATATAAATAAATGTATGTAATGCAACTGCAAATCAATGAATTGAAGTTTTTGGCTCTAGTGATTTATTTAATAGAACATGCATAGTACTTGTTTTTGTACCAAGGATTTGATAGGCTTAACCTCTTGTGTAGGTTAACAACACTGATGCTGAAGGTAGACTTACCCTGGCAGATGCTCTAGTATATGCTTGTAACCAAGGTGTCGAAAAGGTATAACACTATACATCTTGCATTTGCATCTTTCTCTACGTGTAATACTCATAAATCATGAAGGATCCAGGTGCCCTTCCCAAAAGTTTTTCTTAGCAATAGCTTTATTATTGTATTTGTATGTTTGATAGGTTTGTAGGTGATTAGTTATTTTTTCAAACAAGAATCGGAGAAATTGTGAGGACCATTCTAATTTGTCTGCCTCAACTAAACATTCAACTGTTTAATGAACTTATTTTATTCCATTGTTTTTTGTTAAAAATATCTGTGGATAAGTTCTGTTCTATATTTAAAGATTGCTGAAAATCACAACCTTAAAAATTGTTACTTAGGTGTATGGTTTGTTTATAGAATGGTGCTAATTGGTTGGTGAACTATTCTTCAGATTATTGACTTGGCAACCTTGACTGGGGCCTGCGTTGTTGCTCTTGGACCCTCAATTGCAGGTAATTTATGAACTAAAAACCATTATGTCAAAGTATGAACATTAGCTTTTTGCAAGACCATATACCCATATTTGCTTGCCATATACTCAAAAAGGCCCAATATTTTAGTCGGCAATTTTGGGAAATAGAGGCTGGGAGATATATCTGTGACAATGCTTCTTAGTACAGTAGTACTCATTACTATTGCAAACCATTGTTTTTGAAGGTGTGTTTACACCGAGTGATGACCTAGCAAAGGAAGTTTTTGAAGCTTCTAATGCAAGTGGCGAGAAACTATGGAGGCTTCCATTAGAGGAAAGTTACTGGGAATCAATGAAATCAGGAGTGGCTGATATGCTGAACACTGGTGGACGACAAGGTGGTGCCATTGTTGCTGCTCTCTTCTTAAAACAGGTATGTGCTTAATCTTGATATAATATCTGAATGATATCCTTCCATTTTCTCACTCCAAGTGATTGCATTTGCATGCCACTGCAACTGACAGCAGTGTTCCATGTAAAGCGGGTCCACCGGGGTATAATGAACTATCCTAATTTGGAGTTAAAAAGTTCATATTTAAACCATTTATTCAAGGAGAGTTATAATAATAGCTGCATTGCAAATATGGAGTGTGTGGCTTCTTGTTGTGTAGTCCTGCTGCACATTTATGTTAGGGGTTTCTGAAAGAGTTTTGCTTTGCAGTTTGTTGATGAAAAGGTTCAATGGATGCATATTGACATGGCTGGTCCTGTGTGGAATGACAAGAAGCGTTCAGCAACAGGATTTGGCATTGCTACTTTAGTGGAGTGGGTTTTGAAAAACGGTTCAAAAGCCAACTGAAATCTTCAAATCTTGTTACATCATCGTGTGTGAAACACAGGATGAGATGAACTCATCTTGTGATGTTTGTTTCAATGGGATTTGGTTATATGAATAACTTATATTTTAAGGGATGGAAAATGTGGTAAGCTGAGGCATTTTTAGTGTTTTAAACTTTTTAATACAAAGTTTTTGGTTTTTGTTTTTGTCGTTTTGCCAATAATACAATTTGTTTATATTTTTTCCGTCAGTTAATAGTATCCTTTGTAAAACTGTAGCCTTTTAAAAAACACAAACAAATCGAAGGGATTCATTTTTTGGGGTTATACATGGTGAATTAGAAACACAACTGAGGTAAAGAAAGAGACTCTTTTATAAGATGATATTTTTCAATTACAAAAACACTAGTGAGGATGAGCAAATGAGACAAGTGATTTTAATATTATATTTTTTCACCCATATCGATTTTTCTTTTTAAAAATATAAAAGACAATATAGATGGAGAGAAACTAGAAGGTCGACAACGTGATAATGTGATATTAGCATCAAAGAACTGACCTATTGGGTATGCAAATTTATCGGTGAGAGAAGTATAATACAAAGAAAGGTCTAATGAAGTTGGACACATTGCATCAGCCTAAAAGAAAAATATCAGAACAAGATCTTTGTTTTTCCTTCCCTTAGTATTTAATATCTGTATAACAGAAACATGCCAAGCTTGCCCTCAAATGGATTTGATCCCGCAACGACTATGCTTATATGAAATCCTGCATTAAGTACTGCTTCTCACTGTTGGAGTAAGATTCGAATAAAAACCGATCAGTAATATAAGAACTGTTCTAAAGCTTATATTGTAGATGTGGGGTCACTGTATATTTTGTAATTAAAATAAATATATCAAAAATCAAAAGATGTCAAACATTTCAAAACATTAAAAAGTTGTAACGGAAAAAAATTGCAACGGTAATAATGAAACGTTCAAATTCTATCACTTTAAACGCATATTTATATGACTTGCTATGAATTTTTTTACATATTCACAAACGTCTCTTATTTGTTCTCCATTAAATTTCTTTCTTCTTCCTACGTATATTTTCTCAAGTTTCTACTCCATCCATATTTTTTTTTCTCATATACCAAATTCTTAAATTTCTGTTTTATTTATTTGCATTTATGGAGCATGACACTTCAATAGGTACTAGTAGAGGACAATCTAACGAAAAAAGTTATCAAAAAACATTTGAATCTCAAGTTTCATTGTTTTCTACTCCAGTTTTATTAAATAAGATTGTCCTTGATGAAGAAGATGAAGAAGAAGAAGAAGAAGAAGAGTCATCTCAAAAACAACAAAGAGCGAGGTTCACATTGGAGGAAGATAAACTTATGATTCAAGCATGGTTAAATATTTCTAAGGCTGTAGTTGTGGGAGTGAATCAAAAAACAAATTCTTTTTGGTCAAGAATTAAAGATAATTATAATGAGTATCGTGGTCATTTACAAGCGAGAGAAGCATTGCAATTGAAAGCTCGATGGCAAAAGTTAAATAAAATAGTTCAAAAATTTGTAGAGTGCTACAAACAAGCCTATCAAAGAAAGAAGAGTGGTGACTCTGAGACTGACATCATGCAAGATGCATATACAATTTATTTTCAACATGAACACAAATCTTTCAAGCTAGAGTATGCATGGAGGTTGCTGAAGGATGAACCTAAATGGTCAAACACATCAATTGAAGGAGCTAGAAAGAGAACCAAGATTTTTGCTTCTGGAGGTTATTCATCATCTTCTAATCCGGAAATTCCATCAAGTTGTGAATGCAACCCAACTTTACTTTCTATTCATCCAATGGGGATAGAAGAAGCAAAGAGAAAGGGAAAATCAAAAGCAAATGAAACATCGTATGTTAATCTCACTACAAAGGAAGGGGCACAATCATTAAAAATTTCAGTTATGGAAAATATGGCACGGGCTATGCATGAAAGTAACAAGTTGAAAGATAGAGAATTAAAGATGAAAGAGAAAAAATTTGATTTTCAAATCCTCTTCAAGGATACCTCTACTATGACAGTTACACAACTACAAGATCATGAAAGGTTGTGTACCAAAATTAGAGAAAAATATGAACTTGTGTGATGTTGTTAGTCAAAGTAGTTTTCAATTAATGTAATGATGTTAGTTATGTTTAAACATTTATTTTATGAAAATAATTATTTAAATTATGATGTTGGATATGTTTAAAAGTTTAAATTTAATTTATTAGAAGGAGTTCAAATTATTTTTTTAATCAAATTAGTCGTTAGTCAAACTAGTGGTTGCTCAAACTAGCTTTTGTGAAAACTATTAATTTGTCAAACAAACATATATACATGTATATATTCCTTACATGTGAAAAGATTATCATGCCTCTCAATTGTGCAAACAAGACTTGTGTATTTGACATATGCAGTTTTGAAGCTTGTAAGTTCAAATAATGATATTAATGTGTTAAACAAATTTTTCGTGTTTAATGATGTTTTGGAGGGACAAACCCTTAAGGTACAATATATGGTAAATAGAACTCAATATGATATGAGATATTATTTAGCAGATGATCATATTTAATTGGAAATGAGCTACATTTTTCAAGGCCATCCCAATTCCAAAAGATGATAAAAGAATGTTATTTCTCCAACATCAATAAATAACAAGAAAGGATGTGAAACATATGTTTAGAGTGTTTCAATCATGATTTACAATTATATGTGGTTCAATGCATGCTTGACACCGATACAACCAAGCATATATTATATGCTTCTATCATATTGCATAACATGATTATAAGGATGAATAACACATATGTAATAGTCATTTTGATTATTTTTATGATCATTCCAAAAATGATGTCTCAACAATTGAGGTACATAATAGTTCTCACCTAAATCTTACACCATACTTACAAAGGAAAGCATATCCTTGTAATAAATAACAACATCATTATCTTCAAGTAGACATTGTAGAGAATATTTGGGAATATTTTGAGTGTGATAGTCAACAAAATTAATTATTATCTTAATGATAGTCAACAAAAATAACTATTATTTTAATTATGCAATTTTTATTATATTAATGTAGTTTTTAATTCACACGTGTAAAATTAGTTTATATGTTTAAAATTTGCAATTTAAATTATTTTCATCGATTTAAATAAAATATAATTTATGAAGATTAACTATGTTTTGTGTTTTTATTTTTTTTATTTCATATTAGTAAAAAAAAATCAAAACAATAGAATAAAAAGTTCTTAATTTCTATAACTTACTTGTTTTTATAAATAAGATAATTATTTTAATAAATAAATTATTAATGAAATATAATGTACAAGATTTTAGGTTAAAATGTATAATGTAACAACTTGATCTAGCAATTCATAACATTTTCAGAAAAAAATATATTTTTTTCTTAATAAATGTTGTCCTAAATTATTTTATACCAATTAATAAAAACTAAAAAATAAATGAAAGAGAATAATATTAACCTTATGATTAACTTAAATTCTAAACTCATGATTAATCACAACTAATAAATAGATAAAAAAAAATTAAAGTTATTTTATAAAATTAAACTTATGATTAATAATATTCTTTACGAGAAACAATGCATTATTAAATTCACTTTTTTTATATATAATATTATTAGAAGTATATATAAAAAAAAAGATAATTAATATTGTATTAAAAAAACTAACATGATACTTATTTTGAATTATTTTCCCTATGCAACATTTATTATAGAACAAAGGGATTATTTGTTTTCAGAACAAAGTGATCTTGGGACTCATCTATGCATATCTTTCTTTTTCATTTTCTTCTTTCTCATCAAATATCCTCAAATTAATGATCTCACTCCCTTTTTCTCTCCTCTTCCCCTCTTTTAGAGATGTTAAATGAGCTGCCTAACTCAACCCAGTGAATTAAGAAGTGAAAGACGAGTTGCACCAAGAAAAAACATTTTGAGTCACAATTTTAAATTAAACCAAATTCATCCATTTTTTTAAATTTATATAAATTCATAAATTAAAATAAAAATATCAAGCCAGGTAACCTTGATATTTTAGATGTATAACAATGATGATGTATCATGATTTACACACAACTGGTATTTTAGATGTATAATAATGATAATGTATCATGATTTACACACAAGTGGTATTATTATTATTATTATTATTATTATTATTATTATTATTATTATTATTATTATTATAATATTCTTCTTATGAGGTTTTAATCAAACTCTAAATTTAAACCATATATAATTGTATGATCTATATTTTACTCTTTTGACTTTCTTATAAAAATATTCATCTCATAAGAGTATTTGTAGTTGTATGGACAACTACCTCTTTGAAATAAATTTGGACCAACATCGATAAGATAAATACTTTTTATTGTTCTAAAATGAATTCTAAGATTAAAAACATTGATTTCATTTATAAGTCATTGGTCATATTGAAATCAAACTTGCATCTCCTAAACAATTTTTTTTGGTTTAAATTGCGTGGATAAAAAATTGTAGGTGAAAGAAAATTTCTTTTATAAATAATAAACTTAATAGAAATTAATAATAAACAAAGTTATACTTTATACAAATATAACACTTATCAAGGAAAACATTGTTTTCAAAATTTGGAGAAATAAAAAATAAAAATGTTTGGTATATATGTCAAAATTAAAATTCTCTCATTTTAATAAAAAAATAAAGTTTTGAATTTTTTTTAAATAAAAGTAAAATAAGATACTTTAAGAATTAAAACTAAAGTTCAAAGTTCTACAAATATTAAAAATATACTTAACCTTATTTATATAATATCTTTTACTTAAATAAAGATTAGATTGTTTTTGTTTTGGTCTTCTTTATTTTTTTTCCTTCTTGTTTAATCTTTAAAATTATTCAACACAACAACACAAATACAATCATTTAGCAAATATTTTAATAACAATCAATAAAGAGTGAGGTTCTAACTTTCCTTACCTCGAAATTTGAGAGAAAATAAGAGAAGGAAGAAGAAAATGACCTCCTCCGGGAAGTTTCAAAGTTTCTATCTCTAAATTTTCTCTCTCTAAATTTCTTAGGAAGTAAACTTATATATAAAACTCAAATCTTAAAGAAAATCTAATATACCGTATCCTACCAGATCAAGCTTGACCTTTATTTAAAGAAATTTTTAAACTACTAAAACTCATAAAAATTCTTAAATTTCTGAAAATTTTCAACAATTAAATAACTAATTATCACAACACAAAATAATTTAATAAAATTAATAATTATTAAGAAAATGCAAAGTGTTACAATTTACTATATGATAATCTATTTTTTTAATGGCTTGTAAATATTATCATTTGTTATAAAATATGTGTTTAACTTAGTTTGTAAATTAAATTCCATATCGATGAACTTAATTAAGATTGAGTTATGGTTTTAAAAGTAAATTAAAAATGAATTATTTTTCATTTTATTATCCTTACTTATAATAAAATAAATAAAATAATTTTTTAATACAGAATTAGAAAAAAATATTAAAATTTTTTTTTACTAAAAATAAAATAGTTCTTTTTAGTAGAAAATTTTAAAAATTTTAATTTATATCCAAACATGGTCTTATACATTAAATATAATTAACGACTTATTTAACAATGGGTCAACCATCATCCGAATAAAACCGAAAACAATTTATTTCTTGGATAAAAACATCACATGAGAAAGTAAAGGCTTAATTAAAACTTTTGGCAGAGGGCATCCTTTTGTACACAACTAATCTATCTATTATTAATTAATTAATAAATTTGTCCAAATACAACTTCAAAACTCAAAGGTCAGGCAAAGCATCTTATTATTGTGAATATACAAAAATAATATGATTACCTTTTCAATTTTTTTTTATAGTATTTCAACCCTTTTCCTTACGGACTTTAGCAAAGCTAATGTTGTTGTCCCTGTTTCCACCAACTGGGAAGATGTTACTCTCCCCGAAATTTGAACCGTAACCAAGGCGGTTACTCCTGCTCCTCGACCAACTCCTGAGATACAGGAAATCAATCAACACCCCGCTGGAGAAGCTACTATCACTTTTAATAGGCGTAATTCTTTCAGCTCCTCCAGATCTTTTAGATCCAATTCTATTAGATCTGACAATTTTAGGTCTGCTAGGAAATTCTTTTCTACAGCCCATTCAACGTTTAACCTCCAAGGCTTAGACAATTCATCTTTCATTCCTAGAACCATTTATAATAGGACTGAGGAAGAAGCCTCAACCGAGATCCATTCTCCTACCCAATCCGAAATACAGTATGGTCAACTATGAATAGTTACACCATAGACAAGCCTACCCTTCATAAGGAATTCTACTCTAATGACTGGACATCTCAGAGGAAATGGTTTCTTAGCAACTTTAAGGGTGACCCCAGGACAAAAATCATAGATTCATTCTATACTTTCCTTGACAACGTCCAAACCCATGTCTGTTTCTTTGATTGGTTTAATGTCAACCTTCTTAGGAATAAGATTGATCCTCCTTGGACAATCACTATCACACCTTCTTTTTCATTTGGGTTACAACGAAACTAAGAATTTAGAAAAGAAAAAAAAATGCTTACTAAATAACAAAGAATAAAAACAGTAAAATTCCACACAAATTGAAATAGTAACATCAAGAAATAAAATTACTTTTTTTATTATTTTTATTTTTTTATTTTGTACTTGTGTATTAAAATTTCGTATTATATTGATTTGATTCGGTTTGAGTTGATAGATAAATAAAATTTGATAAGAATTATTTTGGTAAGAATGTAATTTTTGTCAAATAAATAAAATTACCTTTTTATATATAAAGTTAAAATGAGAAAAAATAAAATAAAAAAGAGAAACAATTAAGCTTGTCTCTTTATTATTAGAGCTGGCAAGAAGAGTAGATCTTAAAAATGGAAATAGGAAGAAATCATGGCATCCTTGGAGTTAGGAATGGACCGCACACAAACCTTTCCTGTTTCACACCTACCAATATGAGAAAACAGAAAACAAAAGAGAAAAAAGAAAAAGATCTCCCTTTTTTGTCTGTCTGGTGTTTTTCTCTTCTATGAAAAGATTATAATTATAGGACCATTGTTCAACATTTGTTCTTTCTTCAAGCATTAGTTATTCGATTAGCTATGAAGTAGAGAGAGAGAGGGAGAGAAGAAAAATGAGCGTGTCGTTGACTGTTATGACCTTCAATCTTCACGATGATGAGCCACAAGACAGTCCTAATTCGTGGGAGAAGAGAAGGGATTTGTGCATAAGTGTTATTACCAGTTACTCACCCATCATCCTATGCACCCAACAAGGTTTGTCTTCTTAATTTGCATTTGGGCTTCCTCAAAATGCTTCCTTTCCTGCTTCTGCGATTTGGGTTTTTCTAGATGGTCTTTGATCCTTCTGAAAGAAGCTCTTTCAATATACAATTCCTTGGTCATTGGAAATTTTTTATTTTTTATTATTTTTTGGGGGGGGGGGGGGATTGATATAATGATATTAATGGTTTAAATTGAAGATTTTGGCTTTGTTTGTGTACTATTGTCTCCCTTTCGTTGGCCCTCTCCCTCAGATTGATTGATCTGATTTTATTTTTTAAACGATGACATGTTTTTTGTTTGTCCTTTGACTATTTTGATTCAGTTTGTTTGTATTATTTTTCATCTGGATTCAGGAGTGAAGACACAATTGGATTTTCTCCAGCAGGGTTTGCCAGGTAAAGTACCTTTCCAATTCGAACTAGTTGTTCTCCAGCTGCTGAGAAGATTAGTTTATGGTCCTCAAATTTATTACATGCATTTGGTCACTACTCGCTAGCATATTTTGTATTTCCTCCGTCCTTTATTTAAGAAGCAATTGGATATTCTTTTTTGGTCCTATGAATTAGGTGTAGTATAATTAGATGTAACCACTTCTTAAATAATTTAATTAAAGGAATATTTTTGGAACAAAATTTAAATTTATATCATTATTAATTAAATTAACTGAATCTCAAAGTTATGTTTATATACAACAAGGAGGAAATGGGAGAGAAGTATTTTGGAGAACTTTATCAGGACTCTACTTGTTATAAAATGTCAAAATGTCTGAAATACACTTGTTAGCGGCTATGTACTAGTTATTTCAGGAAATAATTCTCTCTTTTTCTTTCATTATTTAGACCTTTTAAATTGAACATGTTGAAAGTTTTTAGCTCAAAAATTGACTGGCTTCCTTTGCTAATGAGCATGAACTAATGTTTAAGGCTGGCTTCTGAACTAGACTTCAATAAAAAATATTCTGCAAAAAAGCAAATGGTGCATGGAGTCTAAGGAAACATAAGAGAACACCATTATCATGACATTGTGCTTATCTATCGTACTTATCAACTTAGTGAAACCTGATGACAACTAGAAACTAGCTATCGTAAGGAAAAAGAATGCTCTTCATGAGAATGATACCTAGGATCTTGTCTTTCTATCACTTGTGAAAATCTTGTTTGTTGTGGTGAGCTTTCAAAATAAAAACTACGGATGACAAATGAATCCATTTATCCATCATGCATTCGATCTATCTACAAGTAAATCCATCCAATCTATCTATTACAATAAAAATAAATAATGGATCGAAGCCAATCCATCCATTTAATTTTATGGATGGTTAGTGATTCATCCACTACTTTTTTAAAATCCATTGAATTACAATATGAGATATTTATTGGATTGAGATTTTAAAAGATTATTTGGATATAAAAAAAATGTCTTGTGAATTTTAATGATTTATATAAGAGTGTAATAACTTATAAAGAAAAAAAAAGTGAGATAAAATATTTTTAAAAAAAATTATTTTTAAAGCATGTATTTTATGGATGGATTCGATATCCATCCATTAAAAAATTGTTATTGGATGGATTGAATGAGTTTTTTGCTTTAAATGAATTGGATGGATTGGATTTTTATATAAATTTTTAATGGATTTAAATGGATTGATGGATTATTTTTATCCAATTCATTATGATTCACATAAAAAATTATCTGATCCATCCATTTGTCATCACTAATAAAAATCAACTTAGATGGTGTTCTCATGTTTTTAATAAAGGTACAAGCTCCCACAGAAAAGGGCTTTTATTAATATCAGTCAGTGGTTGTGCTTGTTGCTCAAGGCAATAAAAGAGTTAACGGTCTTTATTAAGTGGAGACTTCATTTTCAATCCTATTACTAGGGAGGGTTCTATTTTCATCTACTTGCGTTTGCACTGGCTCAAGTCACCACTAGTCATCATAAATAATTCACTTCACTTTGTTACATTTTTCTTTCTAAAAATAAGGGAAGCAATTGTCTTTTATATAGGCAATTCCAATTAAGCCCTTTTTTGTGCTTAATATTTCTGTTTCTTAACGGATTCAAACTTTGATAAAAATACTCAGGTTATGATCAGTTTGGGATATCACGGAAAGGGCCTCAAGACACTACTGATGAGCATTGCACTATCTTCTATGATAAGGAAAAAGTATGAGATTGTTTCAGTATTATCTTATCTGGTATTATTTTTATTTAACTGGTTGGATAACTAATTGGTTTACCGATTTTTCCCCCCTTAAATAAAAGGTTGAGCTTCTAGAAGGTGGAACCTTTTGGTTGTCTGAGTCTCCCTCTGTACCTGGAAGCATGTCATGGGGCTCTGAAGTTCCTTGCATTGCAACATGGGCTATATCCTTATTATAGCTTCAATTGTTTACAAACTGTGTTTTACTTTTGTTGCACAACCTTTGGATCACTTGGTTCCTTGACATGATGTCCACACATTTCAACTGAAAGGAGTTGAGCCTCCTGGATTCTCATTTCAGATAGTAAATACAAACATGGACGAGTTTAGTCCTCGTGCGCGTAGACGTAGTGCTTTGCTTACATGGCAGCACATTGCATCCTTACCCCCTAGCCTACCAGTTGTTTACTGTGGAGGATTCAATACACAAAAGGAATCAACTACTGGACGCTTTCTTCTTGGACGATCGAGGTAGTTTCACAATACATGTAATTTCCATTTGTTAGTTATCATTACTTTCAAGTTTATATCATGTTACCGTTAGGAACTCAAATTCATATCATGTTACCGTTAGGGACTCAAGTTCTTATTTCCCGTAACACTCGGTGCACCTATATATCTTTGTTATTCATTTACATTGGATTCTATAATGAGATATAAAACCTGTTAGGAGACAAACTTAGAAGAATATTTTAGAGCTTCTTTATAAGAGTTTTTCCTAGTAGAGAGACTCTTAAAAGCACTTACAACTTGTATCCAAAAAGACTCATTGGCTATTGCAAAATAGTTTGTAACTTGTGCGTGTATTTACTTTGACTGAGTGCAGAGAGCATGGTGTAGTTGGGGATATGAGAGATGCATGGCCTAGTGCTCGTGTGAGGAAAAATGTTTCTCTAATCCGCACTTATCATGGATTCAAAGGTACTTTTATTCTGTGCTGTGCTTTTACACTGCCATAATGTTTTGAGTCTGATATGATTGTGCTATTAGCCTATTACTGAGTTTTGTGTGGTGCAATTAGGTGACAAACAAGGAACCCTTGAATTCCTCAAATTAATTTTTAGAGCTCTCTGCCTCTGCTGGGATCGGCAAACGCAGGATCTTCACATTGATTGGATCCTTTTCAGAGGGAGATCTTTGATTCCTGTTTCTTGTGAAGTGGTAAATGATAATATTGATGGCTATTATCCATCATCTCATTTTCCTATATTTGCTGAGTTTATGCTTCCTCGCACTGTTAGAATGGTAGAATCACCTGTACAAGAAGATAACTAATTTTTCTTTTCTTGCCATATCTGGGTTTCCCTTGTAGTGCTCTTTTTTTCCTCTTTGTAGTTGTATCCATCATGAATGTCTTTTGTAGGAGTTAAAATTGGGGTTTGTAGCGGTATTGAGGGGAGGAGTATTGAAGTATGTTTTTTGTGCTTCTGAAAAATGTGGACACATCATTATCAGCAAAATTTGTTAGCTGATTACTGCCCCCATAGTTGAGGATCATGTATTGGGACATATTTTATTTGCTTGTTAATTTAACTTGTTCCTGCCTTTTCTTTCTCTATGGCTATGTACAATGTACTTTTATATTTGATTTGAGAATGTTCTGATATTTATGTCATCTGATCTGTGGCCACTCTAGAACGTGGATTTAATGAAATAAAAATGTCTGTGAATGCATTTTTAGACTGGATTTCCCCCCACCAATTCTGTCCTTGAAGTTTGAAGGGGTGTCTTGTGTACTAATGTTTTCAGAAACGCCATATACATATATGATAACTAGTTTTTTATTTTTATTTTATCCATGTCATTCAATACTAACGATCTGGTACTAAAATGTTTATTGTTTATTACATAAAATTAGACTATGTATTCACTTTACTAGCTTAATCCATCTATTAAAATACACACAAAATCTACTGGAATCTTCAGGATTCTTAAAGTATCACAGGTCACTGGTATGATATGACATGGTAGATAATACAAGCATGTGGTTAGAATTCGACTTTTAATACGTGTATATACAAAAATATTTGTTGAGAATAGTTAATTTATTAAATATATTTCAGAATATATCTCAGTTCGGTTTGAATATAATATCAAATTTAATTCAATTTGATTCAAGTAAAAGTGAACTTTATATCTTTGTTTTGCATTTAGTTAGAAGGTAGTAAATAATTTTTTATTATCTCATTTTAATTAATTTTTTTTATAGAAAGCACAATATATATTTAATAAAGAAAAACATGAAACGTTCATGGAAATGACAAAAATGAGCTACCCTCATACGTGACATAACCTCGTGAGTTACAGACTACAACGGATCAAATAAAAATTTCTAGGTTTAAATGGATTTTTAGTTCTTTAAAGATAAATTTATTTTTTATTCATCAAATTTAAAATTATTCTTTTTAGTTCTTATAATTTTTAAAAATTGTTTTAGTTTCTCATATTGTCTATAACATATTTGAAAGTGACAGATTTATTTCAATTTCTCAAGTTATTTATAACATATTTAAAAGTGTCAAACTGAAATAATTATTAGTATTAAGTAGATTTAAAGAGATTTTTTTACTAATAGAAATAATAGTAGGTAGATTTTATATAATAATATTTAATAAATTTTCTAATAAAATTTGAGTTTAAGACTAAAATAATTTTTTTAAAAAAATTATAATACTAAAAAGATAAATTTTAAATTTAAAAAATTAAAAACAAATTTATCTTAAATTTAAATGACTAAAAATATATTTAAGTCAAAATTTTAAATTCAATTTGAGTATTTGAAATGAACCTAAGCTTGATGGAACCCAAATTATTTGTTTTTTGCACACTTTTTACAGGCTTAAACCATATTGGACTATAATTGAATCGAGCTAAAAAAAAACTATATTTAATTTGAATCAATTTTAATTTCTAGCCTTACATTTTATTGGGTGTATTTGGATTGACCTAAATGACCCAACTTTTTCTGCCACCTTTAAACACAAGTGAATTCAAATTAAACCTAAACTAATAAATTGATAAACATAAAATAATACTGTTCCACTTATCCTTAAAAAGAATATGTAATTTTTATAATAAAATAATGAAAACACAACTATGTATTGAAATTTCATAAATATATTATGACATAAATATGGGTGAGAAGTTAATTTCATAGAGACAAATAAATTTTATTTGGTCGATTGAATTAACTTTTACATTTGGATTTGAAATCTGATCCAATCAAATAATAGCAATCCAGCTTTTGTGATCTTCAACCTTACATATAATTTTTAAGGTAATAATTACATAAATCAACAAAAATTTCCATTTATATGACAAACTATAATTAGTTGAAAATACAAAAAATAATTGTATATTTTAAATATATTCTAATCAAACTTAGTATTGAATGTAATTGTTTTGAATTTGATTCAAACTTGTTTCTATTTAATATATGTTTCGCTAGCAAAAATCATATCTCACAAGCATATTTTAATTTTTTATTGTTAATATTGGACAGGGAGTGAAGTATGTCTATGAAGAAAAAAAAAGAGCACATGAACATTTTGAGTTCATCAACATTTTAATGAATTGTTCCAAACATTATTCTAAAACACCAGCCAAGCATTCAGTTGGATCAGTGTAATAAAGGGTTAGTTAAAGCTATGCGATCCATTGAGTCATTCAGTGCCGCGCGTCATCGCCTCATCCATGGTCATGTAATGTCTCACAAATCCTCACATTTTTGTGTCTCAACTACTTTTTAAAAAACACATTATTTGTATTGTAATGAACAAAGCATATAAATTGACACAAAAAATAACAACACAACAGAACAAGGTAAGAGAAAGAGAGCGAGTGGAGCGTGTTGTTTGGAAACAATGGCGAGAGAGCCTCTGGCTCGTGATCTATGCATCTCTGTCTGCATTTGCATTCTACTCATTGCCCACCAAAGTACCTGTTTTTACCTCCCTGGTGTTGCACCTGAGGATTTCTGGAAGGTCATTTACATTTCTTCTTTTCCATAAAAAAAAAAAAAAAAACTATTCTTGTCAAGTATTTTAAGCCTGTTCTTCCTTTTCTCATTGAATGTCATGTTAGATCAGTGATGGGTCATTCTGGTTTTTCTATCCCTTTTTTTCTACCTTCTTGATTGTAGATCCTTACTTGATCCTCTTGATTCATTTTCATTTGCTGGGGGGATGAGTAGTTTGAATTCTGTGTGATTTTGATGAGTGGTCAGATGTCACACTTATCCTGATTCCATCATGCAATGCCTATGCCAGTAATTGTGGGAGTTGTAGGAATAACGTCTGCGTGAAACTTTGCATTACTGTATATGTCATTGTGTGATTGCATCAAAATTTTGCAGAGGAAACTACCAATTTGGTCCCTAACGCGCTATCATATTAATCCTTGACATTAAGAATATGACAAATAAATCTCTTACTTTTCATTTTGTTAGTCGTTTTGATTCATGCCGTAGTAGATGACAATAAATTGTAAAAAGAAGATATCTAGTAACAGTAAATTTGTATATGTAAAGAGCTAAAATGACAATAAGTAATAAAAGTTAGGGACAATAATGAAAGTGGAGGGTTTATTTTTTATGTTTTTTTTTTTAATGTTAGAGACTATCATGACAATGTCTTACAAAATAAGGTAACTAAATTTACTTTACTCAAATTGTGCATTTCATAGACATAGTTGGCAGCTTATTCTACTAATTCAATCAATGCATTGGTGATTAACCATAGAAACACCCACGACTTTTCCAAAATTGTAACATTTATTTATTATGTTGTGTTCATTGGTGACAGGGAGATCCATTGAGAGTGAAAGTGAACAAACTGTCTTCCACAAAAACACAGCTTCCTTACTCATACTATTCGCTGCCTTATTGTCGTCCAAAGCAAATTGTTGACAGTGCAGAAAATCTGGGGGAAGTTCTCCGGGGTGACCGCATTGAAAACTCTCCTTATGTGGTTGGTTTAAATATTTTGGATAGGTTGCAATTTTCTATCTTTTGTTTAGTATGTTTCTCTGATAAAATATTGAAACAATTTGATTCTTCCAGTTTAAAATGAGAGAGCCACAGCTGTGCAATGTTGTTTGTCGTCTAGTTCTTGATGAACAAACCTCCAGAGAGTTCAAGGAAAAGATAGATGATGAATATCGCGTGAACATGTGAGGCACTAATGACCCTCAAGTTTAACTCATGCAACTTTGTGGCAATAATGTCTTTTTGTGACAAAAGGATATTTTATCCTTGCATTGTTGCAGGATTTTAGACAACCTTCCTTTGGTTGTTCCTATAAGAAGACTTGATCAGGAATCTTCCTTGGTGTATCTACATGGTTTCCTTGTTGGTCTTAAGGGACAGTATTCTGGAGTATGTACAAGCTTGCTGAGTGCCAACCATTACATTATAACCACTGTTTTGATTTCATTTTGACCTCGTGTATTCTGCACTAATGTTGACAGATGAAAGAGGAAAAGTATTTTATCCACAACCACTTGGCATTTGTGGTCAAGTATCATAAAGATCCAGAGTTACAGTTGTCAAGGATTGTAGGATTTGAGGTTCAACCATTCAGGTTGTATTATAATTCTTTTCCATCTGGTTGTTAAAATAGTCATGTACTAATCTCTTAATTTCATGGTTAATAATACTTGTACATTGAAATTATTCCTTTGAATTCAGTGTAAAACATGGATATGAAGGCGAATGGAATGAGAATTCCCGCTTAAGTACCTGTGATCCCCATGCTAGAAAGCTTGTCACCAGCTCTGAATCTCCTCAAGAGGTTGAAGACAAGAAGGAGATCATTTTTACCTATGATGTAGAGTTTGAGGTTAGTTACCATAATTCATAGCAACTGAATTACTAGAGTGGCACTAAGAATTTATATCTTGTTTGTTCAAGGGGGATTCACACATGTATTCACGTTAGTACCATATTGTACATTTTGTATTTAAACTCTCAGTTTTTTTTTATCATCATCCAAAAAATATCATTCCAATAGAAACTTTGTGTGCTTATAAATTCATATTCATTTTTTTATTATAATGATGTGAAACTTTGTTTGTATTTCGGTAAGATGTTCATTTCTTTTTGAATTGTGTGAAATTTTACCTTGTAGGCGAGTGATGTGAAGTGGGCATATCGTTGGGATACTTATCTTCTAATGGCTGATGACCAGATTCACTGGTTTTCAATTGTTAATTCTATGATGATTGTACTTTTCCTTTCGGGCATGGTGGCTATGATAATGTTGCGGACACTTTATCGTGATATCTCAAAGTACAATCAGCTAGAGACACAAGAAGAAGCACAAGAAGAGACAGGATGGAAACTTGTACATGGAGATGTATTCAGGCCTCCATCAAACTCAGACTTACTCTGTATGTATGTTGGAACAGGTGTTCAGTTTTTTGGAATGATTCTTGTCACCATGATTTTTGCTGCCCTTGGATTTCTGTCTCCCTCAAATAGAGGGGGATTGATGACAGTGATGCTCTTGCTTTGGGTATTTATGGGACTGTTTTCTGGATATACTTCAGCACGACTTTATAAAATGTTCAAGGGAACTGAATGGAAGAAAATATCTCTGGGGACAGCCTTTACTTTTCCTGCCACTGCCTTTGCTGTATTCTTTGTGCTAAATGCTCTAATTTGGGGACAGAGGTCTTCTGGGGCAGTGCCATTTCAAACAATGTTTGCTATTCTTTTGTTATGGTTTGGCATCTCATTTCCACTTGTATTTGTTGGTGGTTTTTTGGGGTTTAAAAAGCCAGCAATTGAGGATCCTGTCAAGACAAACAAGATAGCTAGGCAGATCCCAGAGCAGGCTTGGTACATGAATCCTGTATCCTCTATTCTAATAGGAGGCATACTTCCATTTGGTGCTGTTTTCATTGAGCTTTTCTTCATCCTCACATCAATCTGGTTACATCAATTTTATTATATATTTGGTTTCCTGTTCATTGTGTTCGTCATCCTCATTATCACCTGTGCTGAGATAACAGTTGTTCTCTGCTACTTTCAGCTGTGTAGTGAAGACTACAATTGGTGGTGGAGATCATATCTGACTTCAGGTTCCTCTGCACTCTACCTTTTCCTGTATGCTGTATTTTACTTCTTCACAAAACTTGAGATCACAAAACCAATATCTGGAATCTTGTACTTCGGGTATATGCTGCTGCTTTCATATGCTTTCTTTGTGTTGACTGGTACAATTGGTTTCTGTGCCTGCTTCTGGTTCACAAGGCTGATATATTCGTCAGTGAAAATCGACTGAACCTTGCCAATTTTTAGTCCCATGGTCTCAGTTCTAAGTTGAAGCACAGAAATATTTTGTCTCCTCAACATAGGATACTTTGTAGTTCTGTATTTTGTTCAAGTCATCAAATGTATTTTCCTAGTATTCATATTTTGTATTATTCCTTAGTATCCTTCTTCCCCTCCTCTCAGTATTATCCTTGAATATTCTCATTGTTTTGTATGGCACATACACGAGGACTAGTGAGCAATTTACCTGTCCTTAGTGCCTATCTTGAAAAAAGAAAGAAAGAATTAGAAGTAAATGTAAACCTTGGTTTAGATCCTGTATTAACAAATAAAATCACTTCCTTTTTGTCAATAAGAAATTTGTTATAAATATTGCATTTTATGTCCGTATTTTTACTTGAATGTTTCTGATAGACGCTTGCATTCATAGAACAAAGCATGGTTTTCCTTGTATATGCTGTTAATTACTTAGAAGTATGTTATAAAAGAAAAAGGTATCAGGAAGGAAATAAGGCTGGGAATGCAATAGAGTCGTATATTATTGATTGAATCTGATTTTACTTATAAGCTCTATTGAGTCTATTCTAAGGAGGCATATCCTCCACTTGCCTAGCTATCATCATCTTGAATAATACTGAAAATGATTCCAGTGGTAAACCACAATCATATTAAATTTAAAAGTCTCTTACATTACATGAGGATCTCAAATAAGACAGACAGACCTTGATTCTGCCAACCAGTAACTTCAATAATAAACTTGAGAACAGTACATCAGTTACATGCTCGGTGGAAGGCCTAATGACAGCCAGTTGGCTCAATGTATAATATTACAATATACTATAATTTACAAGGTTAACAGATGAAGAGTCATTACAAGTCTTGAAACCCTTGCAACTGTAACCAGGATAATTGTATAATACATTGCTTTTGAACTTTCATCACAAATTCAATCACAATAGTCAATGAAAACAAGCATTTTAAGAGAGTAGTTACACATGAAAATTTTAGTCTGCATCATCTGCAGAGAAGTCAGGCTCAGGGGGTTTCTGTAGTTTCACTAACTCCCTGGCAGTCTTAGCAAGGCGATTGCGATGTACACCACGAAGAGTGTGTGCCGCAAACTTTGAGGCTAACAAGGCAGCACCAAAGCTGTAGGAACTGCCACCAACATTTTCATGAGCTCCCTCTGACTCATCTTCTTCCTTTTGACGAAGCTTCATAATTTTCTTTTTAGAATACCGACGCCATGCTGCTTGAATAAAGCATGCAGCCCAGGTCCTCCATTGTTGGGAGTAAAAACGGAAAGTGTGTTGAACCTGTCTACTGTGAAGGCGCCTAAACTGACTGGCAACAAATTTTAACTCATCAGCAGTTAAGGCAAAAGCCTCAACCTCCATTAATGCCTTAACTGTTCTAGTAGAAGATGGGAGGTTAGAACCAGATTTGGGATCCAGGGCCCAGGTTAAAAGCTCCTCCCCACAGAAGTCAGCCTCCTTTAGAAAACTGCGGTTAAAAAATCCACTCCGCCCACCATCCGTGGTAACACTCTCAAGGCGACCACGTATGATGAAAAGCATCTCATCAACAGGATCTCCTTCCCGAACAATGTAAGTATTCTCCGTAAATAAACATGGTTTCAGTCTCTCACATATTGCATCAAGCAATCTCTCATCCATACTCTCAAATAGTGGAACCTACAAATCCATGAAAAGCAATCAATGAATTAACAAACTCAGAAGCTCAAACATAATTTGACATGTTAATCTAAGAGAGATCAAGACCAAAAAACCTAATAGAGGAGGCACTGCATGATTTAATGTCTAAACTGTAAAAGAATTTGAAAAACAAATCTAGTCAGTGAAAAAGAGAACAACCAAATAGTTAACCTCGTGCAAACGGACCAAATTCACATAACCTTGTGTGGTTGTTTAGCTGCAAATACTATAATAACAAAAAATATTTAAGTGATTACCACAAGTTTGTTCTTTTAATTATAAGACTACAAGTTAGTCCTTATTTTGTCAAAAGTGGGGCCCTGTTTAATCACACATTTCAGATATTGATGTTTTGTTTATTTTCAAGTGCTTGAAAGCATACCCTCCTCACTAAGGCCAAACAGAGATGTCGCTTAATATCCCTTCGAAGATCCTTTGGTAGACTCTGAACTAAATTTTCTTCATCTACACCACGCGTTGCCAACCACTTATATTGGTCATACCGTCTCACACGCTCTCTAAGCTCTTGCGGGAGTAAGCGATGATGCATCCACTGTTCTGAATCACGCCTTTTGACTCTCATTTCCTCAAGCCTGATGGTGAGAGACTGAAGATATGTCTGTAATCATGGGAAAAGACAGAAACCTCATTATCAATTACAAACAATATTCTCTTTCATACTTTTGTGGACATAAACTTCAAAGCTATTTTATTTGCAAGGCCATTCTGTGATAATAACAAGAAACAACATGTAGAACACACTTGAAAATATCAAGTGCTTGCTGCACATTATCTGTGTGTCCATGTGAATGTACATTTGATTTAATTTCTTAATGCAGAACCATATTAGTTCTTAAATCTCTCTTGCATGAACAAGATCAGTTCTCAACTTTGAAGCACATACATTGACCCTGACATATAAGGTGCATATTAGGTGTAAGTGCGAGTGTGAGAAGATTTAATCTTGACAATTTAATTTTACACGGAAAGTCAAGATTAGTTCTCATGCTTTCAAGTGATACTCGTACATATCTGTGTTCACACCAAAATAGTGAGTCTATGCTTTATAGGTTGTCAACATGAATACTAATACACGTCGTTCATCAGTTAGAACAGAAAAATTATCAATTATAGCATTCATATTCAACAATATATGCTTTAGCCAGAGGAAGAAGACAGGTGCCAAGTCAATCCTACTCACACCATGCATACAATTGCAACATGTAATTCCATTTAAATACTTGGATATTGATATTGTTGATATTGATAAGCATGAAAAATAACATTGGGCAATTCAATTATTCAAGTATCCAGCATATTTGACCCAATCAAACAGGCCCATGGAAACTCTTGCATGTTCTGGACAAACTGAATGACAAGACTTCCAGCAATCTTACTTTCATGATATGTTACACTCAATGATGTGAAGTATACCTGCATGTTGCCAATTAGAAGCGCAAAGAGGATGAGGCCAAATATAGCTAGTGCTATTGAAAAGATAACCTCCCCAGGATAGGTGCTAGTTTGAAGCCCCTGGCCAAGTGTACTGCAGTGAATTCAATGAAAAGTTGGTATTGACATAACAAATGTGGGAGAGAAAGGGAGGGGGCTAGGGGGAGGAGAAGACAAGGGAATGAGTGATTTCTTCCACAGACTAAATCCAAATCCCCTAATCTTAAGCTCTAGATTGAAGTGTTTTTTCTACTCTCTCTTCTCATACAAAAAAGTGAAAAGAAATTTCTACACTTTCCTTCCTATTTCTATCTATTAAAACAACACTTTTTTTTTTATACTTTATTTCCTTTTTATCTATATCCCTCCTATTTCTTGAAAAGAAATTTCTACACTTTCCTTCCTATTTCTATCTATTAAAACAACACATTTTTTTTTACTTTATTTCCTTTTTATCTATATCCCTCCTATTTCTTTCCCTGTTATTTCTTTCTTCCCTATTTCATTTTTCATCCAAACAGAGTGTAAACAAAAGGAATATTCAAGAGGTGTGACCCAAATAGAGTTCAATTTGCCCAAAATCCACCATATTACTGATACAACTATAACCAGCAGTTTTGTATAAACTAAAAACATTGTCTGATAACTATTTAGAAATAATATAATCACTCCATTCAGAAATACATACTTTTGGAGAAATGTGGTCAGACTTCACACAGAACATACTTGTTTTAGTCTTTCTAATGGATGTTAGCTTGCTATGAAATGCACGACATAAATGTCCAAAGGAAACAAAATTAATTACCTCAAATTCTGGAGCCCCCACCATAAACAGTAACAGTATTTGGAGATGAACTTCTTAGATGAAATGATGCCAGATGACAAGACTTGCTCGAAAATTCCATAATCAAAAGGTGGATGATCACCATCTGCAGAGCAACTTGAATTAAGAATAGCTTCACTCCTATTTTGCCAGTCACTATAACCTACCATGTGCTGGTTCCCACAATATAGGAAATTTTTATTGAACCCATTGTCACTACAAGCTTTCTGCCAGCATGAGTCATTGCGTTCAATAGCTAACAAGTACCAAAAAGCACCAACTATCTGCAAATAATCATTGGTGGAAAAAGGCCCGAAATAACATCACTAGGGAGATTGTATACAACTATACATATAGCCCAAATAGAACAAGGAAGGGAAGATTGAAAGAATTAAGCATCACAAAATAAACACAATAAAACAGAAACTTACATGACTGGCAAGCATGTATAGCAGCAAATAATATGCAGCACCTGCCCATGCGGTTTCAGCAAAGACACCAGCTGTTCTCTTAAGCTCTGAAGTCAATGGTACCATTCGGAGAAATCTAGGAACATACTGAAGCAAGATAATGAACAACAAGGCCTGCTTTGTTGCTAGTACATCTGAACCTTTTGACCTCTGAAGAAATCTCCAAACCACAATCTGAATACAAGAACAAATAAAAGAAAACGAAAGTACGGGTTGAGTTTTCTTATACTTCTTAAAATTGCAGACAATAAGGACAAGCATTACTGTTATGCAAATAACAGTTGTAACTTGTAATGAATGTCCACTAGGCAATCGCAAAGAAGTGTTTTGAACATATCAATGAATGTCTGGTAAGCAGTTGCAAATTTCAGCAGAATACTAAAAGTAGAAATAACTTTACATAATAAAATTAAAAACAGTTAAAATAAATTTTTAAGATAATCCCCAGGTTTAGTAGTTTCAACTTTCAAACCAAAGAAAACAGAAATGCAATGGGATTGGGGAGCTTTATTTTATTAATGACACCAACCCTAATTCCAAACACAAATAAACAAGGACTAAATAGCAGCCAAGATATTATTTTATAGCAATCCAAAGTGAAAGATAACAAGATAGAAACACTTAAAATAAGAGGGTCATAAATCAAAGAAAAATATTCAAGCAGCATAAACAAAAAAAAAGTTGATTCAAGAAAACAATTTTTTCTGACCTGTGGTATCGGCAACACAGATAGGAAATCAATGATGAAATAACGCCGCAAGTAACGCTTGGCTATCTGTGCTGAATCTATCACAAGCTCACCCCGCCCAAAGACACGAGAAGATGGAGCAATATAAGCGGTACGAAATTGGAGAGCCATGTGTATGAGATAGAAAACATCAATCACAGTTCTTAAGGTAGTAACTGTTGTTGCCAACTTTCGGTCTATGCCAAGACAGTGAACTGAATCGTTAATGACTGGGAGATAAAAAAACAGTGGATCCACAGACACAGCCAAAATGCATGAGATAACAAAGAGTTTATTCCATAAAAGCAGAAATTTGTCTTGAGGATCAAATATCTTCTTTTCTGACACTTTAAGATCTTCTGGGAACACTGCCCTAGATACTCCCAACCCAAGCGATCGCCCAATTGACTTCAGTCCTTCCGATCCCCTTCTCATTCCCCTTTTAAAAGACCTAGAAGTTGTGCTGCTTCCATGACCACCATGACTTAATTTATCAATACTGAATCCAGATTTTATAACTCCAGCATCAGAAGATGAAGATAGTGTAGAGTCCAAGGTATCCAACCTAGAAATTAACAGAATGCACAGAAACAGATCACTTTGGTCTGAAATTATAGCCAAGTAATTGCATGTTCATAAACAGAAATGTGAAGAACAATTCTAGATCAGAGAAAGGGAAAGAATAGAAATCAATAAATAAGAGAATGCTTTATCAAATATCATAAGACTTGAGGTCACTATGAGTTGATTACTATAAACATAGTTCAATTTAAGAAAGCTATGCCTACATCAACAAGATTCATGTAAAGCATTTTAAAATTAAAAGTGTACAACATTGCAGTCAGAAACTAGTTTCTCAAAGGTTCAACTGGACAGACATCTGGGAAAATTCCAAAACAGCTATTTTTCTAATTCTAATACCGTTACAGCTTACAAGTGACTGAATAGTTAATTGGTTATATATCCTTCCATGCTATATGGACAAAAATCCAATTAAATATACTGATGCCAAAAGTTCATGTCATAATAACATAACCAATCTTGGCAAATTGCAATTACCTAAATTTATTATAAAGTTGGAATTTCGAAATTGTAATAACTTACATAAGCTAAGAACATGCAAATAAATATTATTAGCATCACTATTTTCTCCTTCATACCTCTACCACAACTTTTCAATGAAAATATATTGGATACCTCGAAAAATTTTCCCGCTGGCCACCCATGTATTCTGACTTGTGACCACAATCAAACATCTTTCAACAGTCGATCACATATGAACAAGCTGCAGGGAAACAAAACAAAACTCAAAACGATGAACAACAACATTAATAATATTGCATCTTCAAGCTCAGATTCCAAATGTTCATTACAGGCCTCTTGCTAGAGGCTGGCACAATTTCTGATTCAAACATGAAAAATATAGAGTTTCAAGAAATGTCATTGCACAGATTAAAAACTCATGCTCATGTTTACTTTCTTTGAGTGTTAAACCACAAATGTAGATCTACTATATCATGAAGATCGATTGCACCAGCCAGAACCTAAAGTTGCGACTTGCTTGTTATGTTATCTTCCTTCCAGCATGATATTTGTGAAACATTTCATCCTTTAAACCAACCTACTGTTTACTATATAGTTATCATGAAATATCTCAATCAACATAGTAAAATCAAAGACTCGTACTCTTAAAATAGCATTAAAAGCCCCTGGATGTACCATTATCTATATGTTCCACTCCACCCACAGAGAATTAAATAATCATAGCCAACTTTCTGCCTCTCCTCACCCACCACTAATTTCTTGATTCATAAAGCAGATCAATGTAACATCGATCCTCTGAAAAAACTATTCCAAGAAATTTAAATAAAGATAGTTCATCCTTAAAAAATATATTACCAGCTATCGGTAATCAACCATTCGGCTAAGCCTTATCACACACATAGAAACAAATTACATTCGTCTGCCCCTGGTACAAAATTAAAATTTAAGCTAGATGAATTCATGGGAGAAATTGTCTACTCTATCTGTCTGCAAAATCGTCTTCAAAAGCACCACATAATCTTATAAATCAAGAGAAAACCTCAATTAAGATCCAACAGCGAGAGTAGACAGTAGCCGGAAATCGAGCAGCCGGTGAGGAATTGTCGTCAACACTCATAACTGGAAGTTGTTGGACTAAAAATTATCGAAAAAAAAAACAGAAACAGATAACGAAAATTGTCCTTCCCTTTTTACTAACCAAAAATTAAGAGTCCTAAAATTTCCCCGCCTAACCAAAATTAGCGGTAGGGTTAAGTGCCGCCGAAGTCCAAGCTCAACAGCACAGCAAGCAAAACCTGAACGACTCTCTCCCGCCAAAATCCAAATCAAAATTGCATAGACATGCAGCAATTCGAAGCAAAGAGTATACAAATTGAAACGCTGATTGCATTAAGACTAAGCAACGAAAGTGGAGAAGTAAAAACGTACCTCGTCGGAGAAAAATACGCGATGTTGAACGGAACCAGAAGACGGAGTCGGAGAGAAGAAGAAGAAGAAGAAGAAGGCAATTAAGGCGGAATCTCGGTCTGAGAGAGATTAAGTCGCTTTCATATACCAGATAAAAGCAAAGAGGAACCAACGCACATACACAAAAATAATTATTTTTCATTCAAAAATATATTTCTGTAATAACTCCTATTACCTATTACTATTACATTTTCTTTCTTCATTTTATAAAATAAATAATTAGATTCTGTGCGGATTCCCGTGTCTGTCACAAATAGAATAGATAAATAGATTCTGAATTAAGTATATTTTTAGTAAGATAAATTTATTTTTATCTTTTAAATTTTATTTTAATTCCTTAATTTACTAATAAATTCAACAATCCCACTTTTTGATTTATTGGTAAAAAGGTTTTAGTCGAAAATCCCGGGTTTTTCATTTATGGGTTTCACCTTTTCATTAAAAACAAAAAAAACTTTTCTGTGGCGGATTAATAACTTGGTAGTGCCATTGATATATAGTAGGGTAATTAAGGGGTCAATAATGTATACTTTTTTTAGTACTGTGGCTTGTATTTAGCCCGTCAATAACTTTCATAATTTGACTCTTAAATAAATGATTACCATTTACTCCACTGCTTAGCTAAAAATACTCAATAATCATTCAGTGACTCATACTGTAAGATTGAGATTGTATAGTTATCACATAAAAAGATTGTCAATATATTTAATTGATTAGCTAATATAATTAAAATTTGATCAAAAAATAATATTAACACTTCTCTCTGACCTTTTTTTTTTAATATTATATATATATATATATTCATTCACCTATTTTTCTCAGCTTTATTTCTTAATTATTTCCTCATGACTAAAAGGACCTTTATTTTACTTCTTATTTATTCATTACTTCTGCCTTTACTAAATCAAAGCATAAATGCTTCAATGATCAATAGATTTCCAGTGTTAGACAGTCAGAGTCAATGTTGTATATATATATATATATATATATATATATATATATAATGTGTGTATATTTTATATTTTCAACCTTTTTATTTTTTAAACTATTTTTTTTATCTATTTACTTAATATATAAATCAAGATATATAATTAATATTTTCATTCATGTCATAATTATTTTTAACTTCTTAATATTCTTTTGAGTTACCATATTATTTATCTTCTGTGATAATTAATTTTCATTAAGACATTTATTTTTTTTACAAATAAATAATATAATTCATAGTTTTTAACGATCCGTTCTTACTTTCATTCAAATTAATGACTTATTAGCTTTTAACTTATTAATATATTTTTTTACTATTATTTTTCTCTCATTCACAATAAGTATATATATAATATGACTATTTAATAATTTTTACTTAATTATAAATTTGTCCCTTTAAAATCGATCAAATGAGAAAAACATTTGAATATTGTATATTTATAATTTATTGATAATACTTAAAAAGAATTATGCAAATAAAATTAACTTAAAGTAACTTTAAACTCTGACAAGTTTCGATTTTTTTTTTGTTTCATTTAATTTATTTTCCCGTTATATTAATAATACATTTAATTAAATTTATTTATGTGAATCATATTAATAAAAAAGTATTTAAACTCTGACAAGTTTCGATTTTTTTTTGTTTCATTTAATTTATTTTCCCGTTATATTAATAATACATTTAATTAAATTTATTTATGTGAATCATATTAATAAAAAAGTATCAAAACTTTATAAATACACCACATTTAAATAGAAGTCTTGTTTAATATGAGATAAGTTTTGCTTAATATGACATACATTTTTATTTAGTTGTTTATGTAACAACCTGCCAAACGATATGTGTATGGACATTTTTATTTAATTGTTTATGTGACCTGCTAAATAATGTGTGTGTTTGTGTGTATGTATATGTGTGTGAACTAAAATTTATTGAAATAGAATTATTTATTAGTTGAGCTACATCATAACATGTACATCACATCTGGTGTCTTGAAGTTGTGTCCGATATGATGATAAATTTTATATTTAGTAGAACCTCGATTTTGGCTCTCCACAAATTAAAACTCAAGAAATCTAAGCATGCAACACTAAAACTCCTAACTACATCAGTAATCCATATATAATTCTCATTTCAACATGTATCCAAAGACCATTCCAATTAATTCATCAATTTCCTCTCATAAAAACCAAGAACCAAAAAGCTCAACAAACTTAATCTTTAAAATTATTCAACACAACAACACAAATACAATCATTTAGCAAATATTTTAATAACAATCAATAAAGAGTGAGGTTCTAACTTTCCTTACCTCGAAATTTGAGAGAAAATAAGAGAAGGAAGAAGAAAATGACCTCCTCCGGGAAGTTTCAAAGTTTCTATCTCTAAATTTTCTCTCTCTAAATTTCTTAGGAAGTAAACTTATATATAAAACTCAAATCTTAAAGAAAATCTAATATACCGTATCCTACCAGATCAAGCTTGACCTTTATTTAAAGAAATTTTTAAACTACTAAAACTCATAAAAATTCTTAAATTTCTGAAAATTTTCAACAATTAAATAACTAATTATCACAACACAAAATAATTTAATAAAATTAATAATTATTAAGAAAATGCAAAGTGTTACAATTTACTATATGATAATCTATTTTTTTAATGGCTTGTAAATATTATCATTTGTTATAAAATATGTGTTTAACTTAGTTTGTAAATTAAATTCCATATCGATGAACTTAATTAAGATTGAGTTATGGTTTTAAAAGTAAATTAAAAATGAATTATTTTTCATTTTATTATCCTTACTTATAATAAAATAAATAAAATAATTTTTTAATACAGAATTAGAAAAAAATATTAAAATTTTTTTTTACTAAAAATAAAATAGTTCTTTTTAGTAGAAAATTTTAAAAATTTTAATTTATATCCAAACATGGTCTTATACATTAAATATAATTAACGACTTATTTAACAATGGGTCAACCATCATCCGAATAAAACCGAAAACAATTTATTTCTTGGATAAAAACATCACATGAGAAAGTAAAGGCTTAATTAAAACTTTTGGCAGAGGGCATCCTTTTGTACACAACTAATCTATCTATTATTAATTAATTAATAAATTTGTCCAAATACAACTTCAAAACTCAAAGGTCAGGCAAAGCATCTTATTATTGTGAATATACAAAAATAATATGATTACCTTTTCAATTTTTTTTTATAGTATTTTAGATAATTTTAGATTATTATTAATTAAAATTAAAGTTTTATTTCCACCAACTTGAAGAAAATACTGGTATTAACTGTTAAATTTAATATCCAATAATTATTTATATCATGTAAATTTAATAAATTCAACTATATATTTAATGATATTATACTTGTAATTATGTCAAATTTCAAATAATTTGAATTTTGTTAAATATATTATTTAACAATTAATATTTACATGTATTTTGAATATCATTTTATATAAATAAAATAATATAATAAATTATCAAATAATTTTAGAATTAGATGAAATTTTATATATATATTTAATCTAATTAGTAATATTATTTGATACAATAAGAGGTTGAATTTACTTAGATAGATTTTTTTTCTTTCTTAAAAAAAAAGAGAAAAATACATAGTAAGGACTTTCCGACAATTGATGGTGTTCATCATCGAGATAACATTAAAGGTCATAACTAAGGCGAATATAAGAACT